ATCATCAATTTATGAGCAAACATCGGTCTGCAGAAAACACCATTGTGACAACGTTCTAAAAGGTTGCACTGAGAACTGTTTCGTTTTCTCTTAAGGAAGAGTTTTATCAGTGACAAAAAGCTTGAATATAAAGACATTGGTTTACTGTTTTTTTTTTTTTTTAAGCAAATGACGATTTGACTCTCTGAAGAGCTTCAACCCGAAAGAAAGAGGGCAAAACTACTACTCCGCACTTGTCTTGCACCTCAGAAATGCAATCTAATGATTAGGGAACGAATTTAAGCCTCCCGTAGTATTAGTTTCACTTCCAAGAAAGCTGGCCAACAAGTTTTTAGGGGCTGATTCAATTATTATCATGATACGATAACTCAGAAATTCTGCTTTGAATCTAGCTCCATGCTTGCACATTTGCCAATTCCCTTTCAGTTAGCTTTTATTGTTCGATTCTGAACTACTACTCCCAGGAACTTTTACATTTAGAACTTCCAGGGACTACCGATCAACTGGACCCCAAAATGCCTTCCAAGTTCACCAGTTAGCATCTATTGTTGATTAGCATTCACTGTTGATTTTGCATTCAAATACGCGGCCAGCATCTGCTGTGTAGTGCTTTTCTGTCACGCTCGTGCTGTGTTACCCAAAGTCAACTACCTCTATGTATGTGGAATACTTCGGATAGCAAGGGGCATATTGAAACCAGGTAGAATCTGTGCGAAACGTCTCTCGGACGGTCATTTTAATTTCGCTCGATCACAAATTAGATACTGAATCAGAAATATTCAATTCATATTTTGATAATGAAGAAGCTCATCAGATATTCACGAAAAGAGGTAAAATATATTTTTCCGTCCCAGGTTTAACCTTCATGGCTCAAGTGACTTGTGACGTCGAGAGAAATATATAAAGTATTGCTTAAATAGATAAGAAGGAAACATTGGTCAAATTTTCGAAAACTAATTATGTAATATGATGGCAAAGCCAATTTTCTTTGCTAGGAAAGTTTTATTTCTTAGCAAGGAATTCGATTTCGTCTCCGATAACATTAACACGCAACTTCTAATCACTTTCTTCATTTTGAAATATTTCATAAAAATTATTTTTCATCTCTGAGAAAACAGTTCCTTCTAATACTCAGGCCGCCTGTTTCAATATACATACGTTTGGTCTCGGTTGGACATCTCAGATAAAGAAAGCAATTGCGCTGATCATGAATCTGGGCACTTCGTTTGAATCTAAGACGGGTAAAAGAATTTTTTTCTAGGGGCAGTGGTATCGAAGTAAAACAGCCCAGATGACGCTGGAACAAGTTTGAGCCAGTTTCATTTCGGTGTTGACGTATCGTCTTTGAAACATTTGCCTAATTTGATTCTTTTATTTTTCCTTTTATCGTGTTGTACGAAGGTTTCCTCAATTTTTCGATTCCTACCAGATGTCTCTGATGCGGTTTGAATGGTCATCATGTCGCCATTTTTGGTGTTCAATATCGTATTTTCTTTTATTCATATCTTGTATACGAAGCCACAAACCAAATAATATTCCACATCAGTTTTTCTTTGGTTTACTCATTTCATTTTACCATTTTGTCTTTTTTTCAGAAATTTTTACTATTGTAATTAAATAACATAGTTCAATCTAGTTTTTCTTTCAGCTATATGTAGTCGATGTGTAATCTCCGTCTCACTTCTTCACAAGCATAGAATTGATTTAATTAAATGACTAAAGAACCAGTGTTAACAATAACAGAAATATTTTATTATCTGAAGACTGTAGTTAAGACCAAAAAAGGAAAAAAGTGCATTAGACATGCCGTTACGGCAAATTTTATTTCGCATGGTTAAAATTATTTTAAGTTTTTTTTAGATCCAATATTTCTTTGCATGGGTCCACATCCTGTATGAATTCTTTTTATCAATTTTCACTTAGAAATATTGGTGTCGTCGGCGCCTGCAAAGAAATACAGTGATACAGCAAAATTAGAGATTTAAAATCTCAGAAAACCTGTTGTTATCAGACAAAAAATCATCCAAGCTAGGGCTCCATAATCTTTATTCTTTTGGCATAATACACTGAATATTAGGACGATAGATATTTCCTCCTTTCGCAATTTTTAATAACATGTTCTAAAATAGTTATCATTTATCATTTTTACACTACAATTTTTTTACTTAATTCTTTTTACTGCTAACAAACACCAACAAAACTGCCGTTAATACCATTTTATAAACACTGGAGAAAAAAGCTGAAGCAAAAAAATATATATTCTCGATCAAATCATGATTAACTCCGCTTGGGAGTAACGTATAAAATTTAATTTCCTTGTTAAAAACTAACGCAAGTTGATTATATTAAAGCTTTCTAAAGAAGACAACTGTATTTTTAATATTCACAAAACAGCAAGTTGATTGAAGTGTTACATGTATAATGATGAAATATAAGTTATATCAAATTTTATTTGCGGTCGATACGCCTTTCCTCGTCAGAAACTACAAATATGGGGCTACTTGGATAATAGTGTTTTAGCTCTCTTTCATTGTGCAAAGAGAGAAAGATATCACAAAATAATTAATAAACTAATAAGAATGCTTAGAAATCAGTAAACTGTTAAACTCAATGGGAGTAAAATCCATCAAAATGGCTATTTTCAAATCAAAATAGAGGAATTGTACATAAGTGTTAATCGACTGTGAATGAAGGATTAAAGTCAATTCTTGTTGCATCTGAAGGGTCAAAATGTGTATTAATAATTATAACCTGACGCAAGAAATGTTTTGAGCGAAGCTAAATAAAAGTCTATTTGCCACTCTTCAAGAAAAGCCTTTGCTAAAGCTAACGAAAGTATCATAAAGAAAAAGTGTCCAATGTAATTACGAACACGCGATACATTTGACAGACACCAGTTCTTCAGTCAATTTAACTCTGAAAGGCGTAGTACTTTACTTTCTCAAGTTCTTTTGTTCTTTTTTATTAGCTGTTGAAAACTTAAATTAACAGCATTTTTTAACAATCAAGGAAAAAGTAACCCGAAAACCATCAAGCTGAATATCTTCAAGCGATGCGTGAGGTGAGGTGTAAAAATCTTAGATTTTTTTTCAATTTCGTGGAGATAACTAACTATCGAACTCAATATTTAAATACATTGGTTTGTCCCCACTCGAAAAAAAAGCAAGAATGCTAGTTTTAGTGGCCAAAAATTGCATTTTACCGATAAAATAAATCACAAAGTGCCCTTAGAATTTCTCGGGTTTTTTTCGGCATATGGTATGCGGCTGATGGAAACTGTATCGATACGTTTAATCAAGGAGGTAGGGACTTTACGTGTCGATTTTCTCTTTCTCTTCGTAAACCAAGGTTTTTTTTTTAACCAAAAAAAGAGATATTATGGAAAAGACTTCGCAGGGGGTCCCTTTTTGTTAAATCAATCGAACGACCTTTCCCATATATACATACATACGTACATATATATATATATACATGTACTAAAGAAGGCAAATATAAGTCCAAGAGATAAACAGATTCTATGTGGTTATCTCGTGGGAAATTCAAATTGTGAATATGTCGCTAGCCATGCACCATATGTTTCTCTCGGTTTCTACTAATCCCTACATATATGAAATTAGAATTACCCTCGATTTTGATAACTTTCCACGGATCGAAACAACCGGAAATAAATGTCTCCAATTCAAAATTTGAAATGTTAATTTTTGAAAATGAAAGTGGTATATTTTGTCTTTCTCGAAGTTTCACTATCAGCCTCCCGGCTTGACATCAGGTAATTCCCACCAACGGAAACCGAACCGAAAACTTAATTCGACGAAAATTCGATTTCGTATTGAACGGCTGGCCAGGATGGGGCGGGTTCTCATTACTTTTTTAGCAAATTGCATTTACCAAATGTAGATTATGAATCACTATCTGTCACAATCTGGAGTCATTTGATTTAGCGCACAGAATAAAGGAGAAAGTAGAAAATGGGGAAAAGTCATTCAATAACATTACCTTATTTGACAGAATTTCACCATTGTATCAGCAAGGAACAAAGCAGCTTGATTATGATTTATTGTTGAGGCATCAGTCAATTCTTCGTTTTTCATTTGCACCATACCATCTGCTTTTAACCCAAAGTAAAACTATCATCTAAGTTTGTTTCTACCAACGCCGAAAGTCATCAAATAAGATTTACTCTTAAATGTCTAAACAAGTGGACATTATCAACGACGTGATTACAGTACCGAACAATGCTCTGGCATTGCTTCATTTAACCCAATCCTTTTGGTAATAGCTTTTCGTCGCAGCTTCCAATTATCCTCTCGCCACAAACTGCTAACCCATAAAAGTGTTGTCACAAGAACTGAAAGGTTACTAACGAGCATTATTGTATGGGTGTGATTATGACGCATTTCAAGGTGAAAGATCATTCGGCAAACGGTCTGTCTTGATGATTTTCTTGGTCTTTGTGAGGAGGGTTCAGACAATCTACCTTGACAGGTGACTTCTGTGCGGTAGATGCGAATGACAACATTTATTCAACTATGTCGCGTGCGACTATCGGGTACTTTCTCTTGGTTTACCGTACACTATACGCCAGAGTAGCTACATTTAAGAAATGTAAATAAACGGTTGAACATCAGATGAGACGCCATGCGGGAACAAACGTCCTCATTCGAGTTTTAATGCTTTAGTACAACTTTGCGACATTATGTGTCTTGCTCTTAAGAAATTACGTTTACTTTACCAAATTATTACTTTTAATATTGAATGTTAGTTCAAGAGAAATCCTACACACTTCCGAACGCAAAAGCTTACACGGAAAATCCTGTCACTTTTCATCTCGCGTCGTTTAATTAATTTTGCAATGAAGCAAATATGCTCTCTTGTATTCCACGCAAGAAATAAATAAAATGTTTAACATGTAAAAGGAAAGCGATGAAATGGGCTGGTGTTGTCCGGATCTTTTTGTAATTATCAGTTCTCAATATTCTCACCTGCCTTATGATCCCATGAAGTATTCAATGCAAATTAGCAATAAACAGTATATATTTCCAGCATAGAGCCGAATTGAACACGTTTGTATCAACACATTCGAGTGCCTTCCTCGTAACATTTACTTCAGAAAACTTCTGGTGAGTAATGTGTACTTTTCTTGAACTAAAAAATAGAGAGAAAATTTACTAAAGTTATCATAGACTTCTCATAAGGTGTGTAATTACAAATTTTTCTAGGAAGGAATATTCGAAAAGGTAATTCTGAATATCATCATTAGAAGGTCATGGATTTTCTGATATTTAATGTTAAAACGTTCGCATGTGATTTGAAGAAGACACAAATATGTTGGCATTTTATGATCACAGTTTGTCATGAAACTGAAAAGCTTTAAATTTGTGAGTCATACTGCAACGAATACTGACAAAGCAAATTCTAAGTACTACACTTAATTCACAATAGTTTTTTATGATCAGTTTTTAAAAGGTGGAATTTCTATTTTCAAATTTTCCCCTTTGTGCTCATGAGACAAACACCGAGGGAGAGAGAGAAAAGTCTCAACAATTACTTGTAAGTTTAATAATTTTATTTGGCGGATGCGGAGTATTATTATTAGCCGAGATACAGCGGTAGATCCTCTGTATGGTGCGTCCTTCTAATATTACGGATAAGTGATATGCTGAGATAACACACGGACTTCATACCAAAAGCTAGAGTTCCGAGGTGTTGAAAATGTCTATTTGCTTATGTTTCCTCTCCGATTTGGATGAAATGAGAATGAAATGAAAATGAAATGAAGTAAATCAATTCGAAACCTTTAAATTAACATACACTTCTTTATTTTTTCTACACTTGGTATTTTTCCTTTACCGTAAAAGTATTACAATTGACTTCGTGGTCTACAAACGTACAGAACCTAATCTAAAATCGAGAAAAGCCCAGTTTTTAAAGACAAAAATAACTTGCCGAGGCCACGAACAGGAGTGTTTTTAATTATTATGCCCAGCTGTCAAAGAATAATAAGTCAAATAATCTATCCAGAGAATGTGATGACCAAAAATTGCTATTGTCCCAGACAATTTTCATCAGTCAAAAAATATTCCCAAAACATAAACCGAAAAGAAGTATGAATGAAAACATCGTGTTGTTCGTCTTTTGTTTTATAATTAGTAGACTGCGAATGGGCAATATTTCCTTCATACATTTTGTACTAAATTTAAGGGATTAGTAAAAATTGATATTTTCTTATAACCATTCAGAGTGTGTATTTTTCTGCGAGGGGCATGATAAATGGAAATCGAAGTACGGTGCCTACGCCTTTTTGGTTTTTTTTCTCTTCCTTCGTGATATAAATCCTTATTTCTTTATTTTTATATTTTTTGACGATGTTTAATGAATGATATTACGAGCTAAGAAATTTTTCACGAAATTGACCCCAAATTACGGACCACAAACCACCGGTAGATCAAAACAGATTTCATTTTCGAAACATAAAGATTGCAGCACCTTTTCGATAATTGGGATAAAGAAACAGAAAGAAAAAAAAAAGACATCTGATTGAAAGCAGGTCAACCAAATAAGTTGTAGATAACCTAATGATACATTTATTCGTTGTTACAGGCTTAAATGGGTTGTAAAAATTCTTCTTCAAAAATCCAAACTGTAGTTACAGATCATAAGGTAATTTACAAAAAGTTGGAAGAGGCTGTCTATTTACTGGAATGTTGGTGCTTTCTTAAATGAGTAAGCACAGAAAAAATTAATTAGATAGTAGTATCAATGGCGACCAACTTGTAATGAAATAATTATGGATTAAAGGAGATTTCTATTAATTTTCTTAGGCACAACGAAACTGCAGACAAAATGGCATGACTCTTTTGATCACAGCCAAATAAGCGGTCAGCGATGTTTCGTTTATCGCATCTTGCACTTGAGTTCCAATTTAAAACAAATTCGCTGTCATGATTCACCATGCATGAGGCAAGAAAATATGACCAATAATAATTTTGAAGTCAAGCATTCCTCTAAAACCATTAGTTTTTCTAGTTGACGTTAATATTTATTGTGATCACATAATTTGTTATATTATTCAGTGTGCTGTAATGTTCATAAAATTACTTTTGATAGTCAGACTGTGCTTAATAACTATCCACTTCCTGTTATTTGGTCTTGAAAAAATAGTCTCCCAACTAGCAAAGGATAGGGCCTTTAAAAATTTTATGTAATCTTCATTTGCTTCAGCCTGTATCCTTTGGAATCAATAAAATAAATTACAATTATTCACTGCACATTGTACTTAACCGCCAAGTTACGTGGCATTAAAAGTCGGAAAAGGTTTATTTGTCACAATATTCGCCGAAAAATAACTGTGCTTATTTTTACAATAGGCCACCACTGTGTATTGATATTTTGGTTTCCTTAGTCTTAATGAAAAAGAAAAGCGTTGTTTACTCTTTGACTGAACAACAATTGTGATAGTTAATTTCCTCATTTTTTCGTTCAATACAAATATTGTTACTAAAAATGTTTTAAATTTTCTTTCCCTCTTTTATTTATTCTTTTTTCTATGAACCGGAGAAGCTAATTTTGAAAGCTTTACCTACACAAAATTTGGTGCGAAAAGAAAAGTATCATCAATTGAGGTCAAATTAAGAGGACATGTGCGTGTTCGATGTGGGAACAGCTCAACTAAAATCTCTTAAAAACGTCATCACTCGGTTTTTCATTACTGCGCGTAAAGTATCAAGAGTTAGGTAGTTTAAATTAATGTTTGTACACTTTTACAGACATGGTTTTGACCATGTTTTCTTTTCTTTGTGGTTTTTCGGATGTCGTGCGGCATAATGTATATCGTGCATTACGCTCGCTTTGCGCAGAAATTGAAATAATAACCACAAACTGACGGAATTGCACATCTATTGATGCTATGAACGAAAGATGTGCTTTTGAATAAAAAACATCGGCCTCGTGCCTCTGCAAAAGCGTAAGACGATTAGGATTGTCAAATTGGCTCACAGCGTCTATTTGCTGTAAAAGCATAAATCTTCGCACTCTCGGGGCTATCCGTGCCCGATGCGGATACCTCGTCTGTAATATTCATAACTCAATTGAGTTTAGCTCACAAAATTGCATACCTAATGTTACTTAGTAACATGCAAAAATACAGGACTACTCGGTTCTTTAAATCGTTTTTCTTTTTCTCTTATTTTTCAGTCTCGACATTCTTCTTTATTTCTAAACCCTCTGTGTTAGTATGTCCTTTAGTTTTTTCAAAGAGGCTAATATACAGTCCAAGTTGTGCCTTTTAAAGAATTTGGCCTAATTTTTTTTAATTTTGACAACTTAGACTGAATTAACTTTCCCGATCTCCATTATCCCTGGTTAATGTTTGGTTCTACTTTCCTCATGGAGTTTGTCTAGTCCTGCAAAGGAAGGCAAGTCTTCATTACACCAGGCTGAATGGGTCACATCACCGTCTTCTACAAAGTTTTAATGTTTTCAGGAATGTGGCTTTCTTATTTTGCCCTCAATCGGACGGTGGAAGATTTTAGAGTTAAGAATGAATGTTGACTGACATGTCGTTTGACTTGTTATTTCTCAAAAACAATAGTAAGAGAAACAATTCGTACTGTTCTTGTTAAAAATAAAAAAGGGCACTTCCCCAATTTCTCGCACACTTCTAGATAAACAAAGTTACGATTGCCCTCTCGGCCGCAAATAAGAAGAAATTGCCAGAGTCAATAATTTCAAGTCACCCCTTTCATCTCACGACATAAGAGATGATTTCACTTTACTTCTCTGAATACGTGATCGATGACTATTCCATTAGCAGAACGTAAACAGCTTTGAAAATTAGATGTGGAAAAATAAAGGCTGCAAAGGCCAATTTTAAGTATATCTTTTTCGATTGTTCCAAAGCTGTGAAATTCAAATTGAGTGCAAATATGTGTTATCTTAATCGAGAAAAAGCTATCATTTTGTGCACGCATTACGGCAACTTTCATTAGATAACAAAAAACCACCCACGCTCGTGAAAAGCCATGATCATTAACAGTAATATTCTCCATGTCACTTGTTTATCAGTGAGAAAATCTTTCAGATATCATGAACGAAAGCCAAATTGGGGAGACACATTCATAATGAAAGCAATGCATGCAAATTAGTTTAAGTGGGAGTTGGTTGAGTTATAAAGGCTGACTACTACAGCTGTTCGTGAATATTTCCTAAAGCGAACAAACGGAGCACATTACACTCAAGGATCTCTATCGAACCTGTGTACGTTTGCCGTTTAACGAAAGAGACAACAGTCAAATATCCCTGTTTAAATCTTCCACTACCTTCTAATTTACCACTTTCTCGCGTCTTATATTTTCTACATATACATTTATATTTTTGTAATGCCTTCTGGTCGCGGAACAACTTTCACTGATAATAATATTGCTTTCTCATGCTTTTTACGGCCACTAACTATGCTATACTTCTTTTCTTTTCAGAAAGTACTCTCGCTGTTTGCTCTAGACGACAAAAGAAAACAAAAACAAAGTAAGTACACATCACTCTAACATCCCTGGAGGTCTATTTCAGCCCTCGTTTGTTTAGAATTTCACTCTTAAAAATGCCACTTATTTTGATAGTTGTGATTATTGACTGAGACACTCAAGAAGCTTTTCACTATTTCATGGTCTAATATTCCCATGTTGATAGGAAGTATTTTGGGTGATGATTTCAATTCAAAATTTCACTTCTTGGATCGTTATCCAAAATAACAACTTGCACGGAAAACGAAAGCGAACAAGCAAAGCACAAAAATTTGCAAATCAATCCGTGAAACATCTTGAGAAACAACGAAAAGGATACGGATAACCCCGTGATACAAACATCTTCTGTAAGGCGGAAAAAATATTGATTGAAAAAAATCATACCCAATACTCTTTTAACGTTTATAGGTTCGAGTGCTGTTGTCGGTAAATTTCTTATCAATTGTCAGTCTGCCATGATTCTTTTTTTTGTTGCCTACTAGCTATAGTATTTAACTGAAGATAAAATTTTGGGATCATGTTATTAAGTTAATGTTTTAAGTCATAGCAGACGCATCCCGAAACAGCTGTTAGTGTTATATTCTGTAATTTTGTAATATAATAATTAGTGCTGAAACTCGCTCAATGTACTGTCTTATTGATTCCAAAAAGTTCTTCTTATACCACGAGCACTACAGAACTGATTTTTTTCTTGACTGATGTATCTACCGAGAAATTAAGCTGAGTTTCTGCTTTGAGAAAAAATAAGGCTCGTAAGTGTTAAAAGTAGGAAGTTCCACTATCACGTTAGCCTTTTGTTTGAATCTTCAACAATATACATGGATCATTTCGACGAGTAAGACTTCTTGTAATTGGTGGGATTACTTAATCCCAACTATTGAGGTTACCAAGGTCGTCACGAAGAAAGGCAGGCCATTTTCCACGAAGCGGAAAGTTTTGTTGATTGATTTTAGTTATTTCATGCTTCAAGTAAGTTAACGGCAGCTTTTTAAAGTGTTATTTGTTTAAAAGTTTGGCTTTGATGGGGATATCTTGTTCAAGTGTCAATACAAAACTGCTATTGTACATATACTTTGCATCTCGAGAAAGGTCAGGTTCGTCAGGAATACTGGCTTGATTTCGTCAAATTGAGGCTTATTTGGAACCTTTTTGCTTATGGTTAAAGTTGATGAAAGTGACAACGACGACGATGATAGTGATGACGACGACGATGTTAGATATGACGATGATAACGATAATGGTGATGATCATTGTGACAAGACTATGAAAACAACCCAAATAAGACTAAATAATCCCCGCGTTTTGTTCCCTTATTGTTGTAAAAATTACGTGATAGTGGAGTGAAATAGAACAAGACTCCTAAAGGCGATTACGCGGGATTCGTTGGCTACTGAGCGTGGCATTGGAAGAAATTTTTCAGTAACAGCACACTAAAATGATTAGTCAGTCAGATCAGCCGAAGAAATCAGCGGAGAAAATTTAGTGTTGAGGAAACTGTGACTGTGCTTGTGGTTGAAAATAGCGAAGAGTAGCTCCTCAAAAAACTTTGGATTTTCCTGAATTAAACTGGAAGTCGGCCTACTGATCTCCGCGTGTTTCATGCAACAGCTCGGTAGAAACAATTTCCATTTCCGTTGAAAACGACTATATAGCCTCTGTGAAGGACGTATATTTTCAGCCGTCGTACTTTGTTCATCGAAAAAAAAATACAACTTAAATGCAACTAATAAGACCGTCTGAGTTACTTTAGAGCGATTTGTAGTAAATTTTGTGATATTACGCAATGTCAATTTCACAATAAACCTTGCGAAAGGTGAGAGGTTGATCGGTAGATTTTAATACATATTTCATAGTCAATCACACAAAAACGTGTTTCCCTCGTGTCAACATGAGCTAAGCAAATTATGATAAAATGGCGGCAAAAAGGATATGATTTTCAAAATCGTATATTTTTACGTCAAAACAGCCTTGCTCAAACACAGGGATCCGATTACACCGATGCTTTCATTGCTAAAACATACGGAAAATTTCAAACATTTCAACCATTTCAAGAATTTGTCTTCGCATCGACGATGAAAAAGGAACGCCAGCAAACCTTACTGTGGGCCTGCCTCAGGCATCCCGCCGAATAACAAAGGATAGTAGCTATAAGTAAAGTCAATCTTTGGGTGAACAAGATATCCTTGATTTACCTTGTCCAGTATAAATGACTAAATTGTTCAATTCATGAATTACCAGACGAACAAAAACATCTATGAAGTTTAGGTTATATGACATTATTTTGGCTGCTGAAGCAGACGCTTTTCCAGATTAATGTTTCGCACGCCGGGAAAAGAGCTCATGGGCTAGGATACTTTGATATGAAAAGTCGAAAGGAAGGAACCTTTTTTTAATAAAAAGTCACCTCTATGTTGAGTGCCACTATTGCTTTTCTTGTAATCAAGCATTCTTTTCTCTTGTTACAGATGAAGGGAGTGTTTCTTGTCCTCACTCTTCTGATACTGGTGTCTGTGACTGATGGGGCTAAAACCTCCTGTCCACATAACTGCGCAACTACTTTTGTCGAGTGCACCTACAATGATAAGCGATGTGACAACTTCGATAACTGTCAAACAAGGTGCTTTAATCCCTACAACATGTGCAAGGCGAACTGTAAAAAGAGGAGAGAATTGTTGTCAAGGTTTGCCCTCGAAGATGATGATGCGGACGCTTTCTTCCGTTAAAAGGAAAAATATCGAGATGACAGAATTAATTTTAAATCCGTATTTCACCCCTGCAGAGCGTTTGAATTTTCCCTTTCCGGTATTCATTTCTGTATAAATTTAACCTACGGGCACTTAAAAGAAAACAATGAGCAAAAGCAGTGACAAGCTTTCATATCTCTTGTAATTAGAAGTTTCTGTAGAAATTATCTCTACTAGTAATTGTGTTGGTGCGAGCTGATATGCGGTCATCTCGTGCCGGCTACAGAGGGAGGTTACCCTTAATAACTTGTATTATTTGCCCCTAATCTACAAAAATATCAAGCATGACAAAAGTTTGCCAAAACCAAATAAAAGTTATGTTATCTGACCGAATGTATCCTTCCGCATCTGGTGTACTTTATACATGTATGAAATACATTCGATTCGCAGCAATTAATACAAATATCAACATTAAGCTGCCTACCCAAACATGTTTAGTTTTGTCTGTAATCAATTTGGAAAATGCATTCATTCGTACTGAGTTTTCAGACTTTTTTACGATCTTAGCGGTGTAGACGCGAGCTCAAGCGAATCGATGACGCATTCCTAAAAATGCAGAGACAATCAGGAAGTCAGACATACAGACAGATGAACGATCAGACAGACAGACAGAGAGATTCACAATCTGACAAACCGTCAGAAAGACAGACTGCACACTGACTGAGTGACAGTCGAATTGACTAACTAACAAACAGATAGACTAACTGACTCGTATATTAAACGAGTAACTGACTGACTGATAATCAGACTGACTGATTGACCGAGTGACTGTCTAACTGATTGACCGAGTGGTTGACTGACAAGAGGAATACAGGCTGGCTTACAGACAGACTAATTGACTAACTGAGCGGCTGACTCACTGTCTGTTGATAGGCAGACAGACAGACTACATCGATAAGTTAGGCTGCAGCGATAGTAACTTTACCTTGTTACTGAGTAGTGCATCAATGGCTTTGTAACAGTAGCGAAATGAGAGCAAAACCTTACGTAATAGCCAAGCATACAAAGAAAAGACATGAGTTGCTTCGACCTTGGCACCGACTGGTTTTACTTGACCATGTCCAACGACATGCCCCAAATAAGTGACTTGCGCCTGGTCAAACTCACTTTTGGAGAGATTGGTGGTCAGCTTAGCTTCACTCCATCCCTTGAATAATTAACGGATACTTCTTACGTGTTCTTCCCACGTGTCTTTGTAGATAACCACATCATCAATATATGCTTCACAACCCTCAAGATCTGCGATGACTTTGATAGCTTCTGCATCATCAAAAAGACAAGGCGTTGGCCAACATCTCTTTCACCATCGAAATTGAAAGTGACAGCTCGACACTTTGGTCACCCGTAGAAATGGTACCATCGCTGTCGATGTTTACAGAAAGCCTACGCACACGGACAGATATCTAGATTACAATTCTCACCATGATAATAAACACAAGGCCAGCACAGCAGCAACTCAAATACACAGAGCCCTCAAAGCTACCCAACTCCTCCGAAGGAAAAGAACGAGAACTTAACAATCATTCTGGTGTTCCAGGCCAACAAAACCCGACGCTCAACAGTGGTTAAAATCTTCTTAGCGCGCTCTATCAACGGAACTTGCCAGAATCCTTTAAGAAGGTCGAATTTAATTACATACTTGGTTTTTCCAACTTTGTCGATACAGTCGGAAAGGTGTCTGTCTTTGTCTCGCTGTTTACTCTTCGGTAATCTGAACACATCCGGTAACTTCCACTTGGTTTAGGAACAAGAATACATGGAGACTATAACTACTGTTGCTCAGACTTACGTACAATATTCATACCCCTTTATAATAATGTCCTTAACAATGTCATACCTTGCAGCTTGCTCTACACTTAATTGTGTATATATTTCCCTTGATTTACCGACTCGTAAACTCTGTACTAACATTACCCAGTGATCGTTAGGCCACTTAAGCTTGCCAGCTACTTTCTCAAAGTGTAAAAATTGTTATCAACATCTGCCTCCTGAAATGGAGTTACCAACTTGATACACCTAGCGACAACAAATTTCCCACAAGCCTTTTCACTACCAGGGTCTAACCCTTGTTTAACATGTACCTCTAGTTCTTTTTTTTTTTTTTTAGCTATTGTTGCAATGCCAGTTTCTCTTGTTCTAACCTTTATTGTCGTTCCTCTCTTTCAAGCCTTTCTGGCCGATTCTTTTTCTCTCTTTCCAACCTTTCCTGCCGATCGTTTTCGTCTCCCTTCAACTTTCTTCTCTTTCCACCTTTTCGTGTCCTTCTCTTTCTTGCATTTCCAAACTTTTAAAGTTCTAACTGGAATCGCAGTTTCTTCATCTATTAGTCATATGCTCCATATAAGTTTCTAACATTGTCTCTTTGAAAGCCACAAGACTTACTAAATGCTTCACTTTGATATGCGATATCTGATGTTTCCTCGTCGCTTTCTTGACCTCTAGCCGTAAGTGTTCCGCCAATGAAATTAGCTCTTCTTTCTTTAATCATAAAATATACCTTAGTCGGGTTTTGACATAAATTCCTCTGGATTAAACTGTGACGTGTTTCTATACTTCATGACTACATTAACAGACAATAACATCTCCTCAAAGTAATCTACATTGAACTCTACAGCAAAATTTGTTGTCATTTTTAGGTCACGTGATCTATTTTTGCCATGGAAAAACACATGTAGAGATTTGGTGTAATTTTGGAGTTAACTTTCGGTTCTTTCGATAGTTCTTTGATCCTTTTTGCCTCGAAGTTGTACCTGGAATTCAAAAAATAGTTTAAATCGAAACCAGGCCACCAATTTCTTTACGGTATGGTTTCACCGTCAGAAAGAACACCATACTCCTTCTTTATAAAGAAACTTGTTACATTCTAACTAAGGAGTGATTCATAACGGCAGTACATTAAGTACTGTAATAAATCTTTTTAAGCCCACTGACACAATCTCACAGTCGTCTCTAAAGTTTCTTGAAATGGACAATCTTCCACACTAACTCTCTCTCGGTATCACTTTCTAAACAGTCGGTCACTCCCGACAACCACAACAACTACTACACAGCGCTATACGAATATGTATACTATATAAAGTTACAAAGTATTCTAGAACATTTTGAAAGTTAACAACATAACTATTTTGGTGGTATTACATCATAAAAACGTGATCTAATAAAATTTTCTAGCAAGTTCCATGGCATGACAGTTGAAAGTTCGTGTATGCCTATCAGCATGACTAGGCATTCTAGAAATTTCTAGAAAGAAATCTTAAAGTTATGATCCATATATAACAACACGAGTAAGGGCTCAAAACGTTTTGCGTCAGTAATTCACTTTTTGCACTTGAAGGTTTTCTCCTCGGGACACAAAATCCTGTTGAAAGGTAAAAGGAAGCAAGTGGCAAGCAAAATGGATTCTGAAATAACCCATCAGATGTGTTTGAACGTGTTCTCGCGACCGTTTGAATCATTAGAGGTAAAAAAATCGCACAATTTACGATACTTATAATCCAATAAAATTGCGCTTTCCTGGCGGTGCGGTTACAAATGTTATTACATATAAGATTAAATGCAATAGAAATAGAGAATAATCCACGGGCGCACGTAGATATGGAATTTCTCTTCGAGAGTTCAACTCGATAGCGCTCACGGGTGAGATGTCGAGTTGAACAAGAGAAGAGATATTCCATATGTACAAGCAACAATGTATTTTTTTTTATCATAGTAACACATGCATAGCCCTTTACTGACAAAAAAAGCTGATGTTATTACTGAATGAAAATAAAAGAATCGACAATTCCCTTATAGAAATCGTACATTGGGCTGGGACAAAGGCTCAAGATGGAAAAAAGCGTTGAATCATGATTACAAAAACAACAATGGGTGTAATTTCCAATTTACAAAATTCTCATTCATTGATTTTTTTCCTTATGGGCAGAAGAAATCTTTCAGGTAAACGGCCAAACCGTTTTCGTTCTTAGCCGCGAGAAATGCCACCACCAAAACCACCGAATATGTAACTTTCGGTTTTTATTTCCGTATATCGGTTTTCTTCTTCTTCTAGGAAAGTTTGAACGTCACTGTCTGTAAGCGATACGGATTTTTCAGTGATTTGGCAGCCATAATCAGAGAAAATTCCGACAAACTACCTTGGACTGAGAATGGTGAAGGCGTTGCCGTTCATTCATCAACCTAACCGAGTGGCGCGAAAAGTGAGTGACGTGTCAGCTACTAATTAGTGATATCAAACAGACGTGAAAAAATATCGAATGTTTTCACGTGTGTTGTTACGACCTTTTTCAAGGCTGGAAATCCTTGTATAACACCGTAATTTATGCGGTAATGTAGAATAATGCACTGGAGTAAAGCTTACAACTAGATATAAAGTATGTAAAATCTAATGGAAGTTCACGATCTATGGAAGCTAAGCTACGATCCAATTTAATTGCATACCATCTACTTGCATTCAGTTTTTGTCCAGAATGCCTCTCCTTACCAAAAGCACACCGTACGCACAGTAACAATTCACCAACCTGTAAGAGAGGGAATCCCAGTATTAACGCAAATCAAATCCTGCTGCTTGTTTTTCCACTTTGGGATAACTAAAGTAGCAGGAGATAAATGAATAATATGCACTTCTTGACTGAGTGAGAGGGCGGACGAAGAAATAATTGCCTTGCAGTAACGACTTGCGGACCGAGCGCAGCGAGGTGTGTGCACCAATATTTTCCCATCAGGCCAGACCTCACCTAGTCAATAAGTATTTTATCACATGATTTTTATGCCTTAACAATGTTGAAATCATGTTTAACCTTAGATAGGACTCGATCATCCAAATAAGATGAGCGCGCGCTAGACAACTATAAAGGCGGATCCTGGATAAAAAAATATTTACCTTTATTCCTTACTTCCTCATTTCTGTTTTACCTCAAGTTGGAGCCCACTTATGTAATTCGTCTTCTCGGAAAATGTAAAAGTACCGTGAAATTGCGGGGCCGAACGACTTTTTCACGAACCGGCTCACGTCAACCCATCAGACTATACACGTCAGCTGTCATTATGATGACTACGCTGATTGGCTAACTCCGAAACGAATAGCGAAGTTCTATTCAAACACGAGCAGCCGACCAGAAATCAAATGGCTTCTCGTTTAGCTACAGCTACAAAACACGAAAGGCTGTTAAGTAGAATCTAAAAAATGGAAATTAACCTGCATCTTTCCGATTTTTTTATCATAACTCAAAAGTTACTTTTGAATACAGAAGATTATAGCAGTCAAAGATAGGCTAAATGCTTTGCAGAATTGTATCAAGACGAGAAATGACGATTAATGAAGTGATTTTTTGGTAGATAACAGAAAATGCCTCGTAAAGTTACGTTCATTTGCAAGAAAGCGAGGCCTGAGTGTTTATACGAAGAAATTACCTACCCGCGAATGAGCATCGCCCGCTGAAACTTTTTGATCAGTTTAATTTTCGATTACATTGTGATAAGAAATAGAGCTTATTTTGTGGGTCCTCCAGTTATTCTGCTTTTGCGCATGAAAAATACCCGAACAGTTATTCTCCACAGGGTCTGTAAAGGTAGAGGAGATTACCTCGCCGGCCGGCGCCGCTTCACGAGTCTGTGAATATTCACCCCTTTTGGCTTACACTTCGGTGAATAATTGTTCATTGCATTTGCATTTAGCCCGCGTGATCATTAACGGTCCCTTAACAGAGCTAGCAGACCAACGCCAAAAGAAGAAGGTTTAAAATTAATAAATTATTATGAACTCGAAAAAAAAGCTAGTTGATCGTTTGTATACTTCGAGAAGAAGAAAAATTGCATGATGATAGGAATTGGTAGTTTTCAAATATGACACTTCGATATTGAAAAAAAAGCAAAAAATTTCTTATGATGAAGAAAAGAAACGATTTTTGATTAAATCTTGGAACTCTTAGCGACGTTTGCTTTGACGTAGTAAAATGCAAAAAACAAATGGCGGGGTTTTTTTCTTCCTTTCAGAAAAAAACATAATCTATGTACTCTACGTGAAGCAGCTGGTTTTATTCAATAGCCTTGAGCACAAGCGTTAAAGATTGTGGGTGACTCCAATCAGAACTGGAAGATAAGATCCTAACAGCTCCGTTTCCGTCAGCCGCTTTTTAAAGTGACAGTAAGTGTCGATCTTAAAGTAACGTTGTTCGTCATTCGATTAATTCTTCAGTCCCGCTAGCGTCTCCGCCACGAATTTACTGGACCTCGCGTTAAAATCGTAAGTACGATGTACAATTTTCCAACGGTCTAAATCGTCTTAGGCTTCTTCAAGTACCCAAAAAATAGCGGTTGCTTGGTTACAATTGTTTTACCTTTCCTCGCAGATCTTGGAATTGTATTCAAAACAATGAAAAAACGAACAAGAAAAGAAAATCCGATGTAATTCCATTTGCTTTGCCGCAAGCTTTGTATATGATTTCAAGCAGTGTGTGTGTGAAAGGGTTTTCTTCCGAAGTTAAGTCTTTTTGTTCCGCACAATTGTCAATATATTGATCGAGATTTTCAGTTGTAAAAGGAAAAATCATGTTTACATTTCTAATTCATTTCCGCTGGGTTTAAAGCTTTTGCTAATTTTCTTTGATCTTTCAAAAATTCCACGCTAGATTTGCTGCGGATTTAGCTTATCGCGTTATTTGTTCCGAACGTACCTTCCAGCTATATTTTCTCTTTTCAAATACTAATTTTGATCTCCCTTGCTTCAGTCGACTTTTTGTGATCCTATAAAACCTACACAAATTCGGTCCTTCCGCCCTGACACAATCTGCTCAATCTTTAATTTATCAATTGAGTTTCAAACGTATCATTTCATCTGATCGTCCTTTCCATTTGAACTTCAGGGCTTTTAAAATATCAATGTCCGTATAAGGTATGCCATTTTCCAGTATTCTCCATTTAATACGAAATTGTAATTTACTACACTGTAATTACGTGATTCTCCGGCCTGCCTACGTATTTTCAAAGCCAAAAATCTAATTAGACGAGGTGCATTAATGCAGAAAAAAAGGGGAAGAACTCGAGATTAAATTTCAAAGGAAAAGCCAAGTTTGGCGTCTCTATACTTCGCAATGGATGGGAAATTTAAACTGTTCATAAAGACCGATCCAAAATCAAAATTTAAAAACTCAGTTATCCTTCTCTTCAGCTCAAATGCGTTCATTTGGTCGAAAAACTCAACCTTAGACTACCAGCTATTACGCCGACAGTTTCAACTTTTCCAAAGTTGGAAGTCTTTGCATATTAACTGGTGTCTTTGTGTTATTTTGACATTCCTGACAGCACTAATATAAGGCACTTGGAATACATTGACAGAAATCGGTTTGCGAAAGAAAATCGTGAAGAAAATTGTGCTTCCTCGCTTCAGTTACATAGTGGGACTACTTAGATTACTTGACGCGTCAAAAAATGAAGCATTTGTGTGCTGACTTCATGGCAAGATTTACTCGATCAGACCACTGGACACGGAAGCTCAATTCTTTGCATGCTTTTAATTTCATTTTTGTAAATAATGTAATCAGCTCGGTTGTTTTGGTTAGTCAGCTGCTGTTTTTGTGCTGGTATCATCGAATGAGACTGTACCCCGAAAAGAAATTGATCACTTCTCACGCATGAAAAACAAAATCCACTGATAAATATAACAACGCAATCATCCGAAATAAAACAAAACGCATTTAGGCCGATGACATTAGCGTCGGGCTTAAAAATTTGCGAATTCGCAAGTGAGATCAATAATTGCGGTCTTGATTTAAGAGCTCTGGTCAATTTGGTCAGATATGATAAACTGGCCTCTTACAAATTTTACGCGTGTTATTACTTTTACGATGTTTATTTTCATTTCATTGTTATAATTTTCCTTTCCACGCCGAGTAAGTGCTCTCAAGGTACAATCAGTTGTTTTTGTGTTTCATAGTTGGATTGCCACCGGCTTTTTAAACTTAAATGCAAAGTAGAAATAGAAAGTAGGTTTCCTGCCGACACAAACAGTTCACTTCTCACAGTTTCAGCAATTTAAACACAATTCTGAATCTTTTAACAGTCAAATTAGTAACTCCTAAGGGTAAAACTCTGTAATAATGTGCCCGTAAAATAAACCAGAGCTATAGCTTCAGCCATTTCATAGGAAATGCGTCTTGTTTTTTTTCGCATTACACAACTCTTTGGAGGCGATTACGGGCGAGTAGACATTTACTGACAGGAACAAATTGTCTACAACCTTGTTCCGTGCAAAAGGTGTGGAAATTAGATGAGAGAAACTGACATTGTTCGAAGATATCTCACTATCGCCATTATCTGATTCTGTTAGAGCTCTAAATTGTGCCCTGATCAGCCAACAGGTGGCTTTTTTTTTTCTGTGCGTCGATCAGATTATGATGATCATGAAAGCCCTATTCGGCCAGCAAAATAGCTGTGTATAAACGGATGTGTTCATCGGTACGACTATAGTTCCGCTGTTGACAAATTTAAAAACCTTCAACGACACAAAAAGTTCTTTACGAGTCGATGCTTTAAAATTGTGTTGACACTTTGATCCAAAACAGTCCGAATGTTCAGGAGAAGAAAGCGATTAGGGCTAGAATAATAGTAGTTATCTCATCCTACTCACATTGTTTGCTGTCTGTAATTTGGGTAATATTGCCTCAACGACTAACAGCATGAGCTGTCAAACAGAACAAATTGTTGTCCATTTAGGGTCAAAATTATTCGTTGATGGCGTTTTCCTGGAGGTTTCATAACCGGTGCTAAAGTTGAACACATATTTAATGTTCGGCACATTCACATTTCATTCATAACTAACTGTGCGTGTTACAAGAGCTCCCGCAATTTGCGTTATTCATAGTTCTAAGAAACTGCGCCGAGTTCCGCGTTGTTTTTGTCTGCTATCATACCATAAGTGGCCCACGGTAAAGCATGAAAAAATGTAATGTATTCTTAACAAAAGTTTTCGTGGCTTAATGTTTTTTATTATCTTCAACAGAAAACGTCGCTGAAAAGAGAAAGTATCATAGGATTTTACACAAAAACACTGATAAAAAGGTCGGTATTTCTCATTTTGTTCATGTTTCCTGAATGCGCGACCTTTTCTAATTTTTAATTTTTAATTTTATTCAAATAAAATTAGGGTGGCTAGCATCCCGACGTAACAACATAGCAACGCCAAATGTTGTAGTAAACGAAAGCTGTTTTCAAGGCCATTTTAACACAATGTACACCAGAGCTTCATTCTATAAAACGCTGATAAATCTCAAGCCAGAGTTTTCACGCTAAGTTTTAAAACTTAAACTTGGTGATTTTCAAATATATAAAAGTGTCATTTTAATGAATTTGTGCGTTTCTTTCGGGTACTTATCATAATAATTGATTTACTTCAAGACGTGCCGACAAGCATTACTTTTAAGTTCAGTGATTCACAGACAAAGAAGAAGTAAAATAATCGCTTTTTCGTTTCCTGTTGCGGTATCGGAAGAGAGGCGTCTATTTATTTGTGCCTACTGCGGTCATGTTGTTCGGTCATCTCTTGGCTGACCGCAAATTTACATTCTCGACATTTGACTAAGAAAGTGTCTCGCATTTTCCTCTAACACTTCCCGTGCTGACTCCCACGCGCGGTCACGCCTAAATGCTTAAAACACATCGTCGGCTTTTCAAGTTTCCTCGTATGTATAAGGTAAAAGTGTGATTAAATGACTTGATTTTGTTAAATAGCTCATTGGTTCCGGAAAAAAATAGAAAGAAACTGTCATCCATCACGAACTAGATTTGAAGAGATGAATCTGAGTGATTTAATCTGTCCTACGGCTGGCTCCCTCACCGAGTAGGTTTTGTACCTCAGGCAGAAATGGTAATGGTAAAGGTAATTGCACAATAGGATTCCGTATTGTGGCAGTGGCTACTCTTGCAGTTAGCTTCGAGAGGATTTTCGTTGGGGGAAAGGAGAGCCGTCTTAATCACTCAACAAAAGATCCCAGAACGATTGAAAAACTGCATGGCAAAGATTTTTCACCGACATTCATATATGTGCATTTACTTGTGACAAAACTTTGAACAGGTTATTGTCTTACGAAATTCCAATAGTTACGAAATTTATAAATTCAATAAAACAAGTTCTACCGGCAAGAAAATGGGAAGAAGTCAAAACTAATGCAAATTAAATTTTACATACGGTAAGGATACGCTTTAACAATGAGAAATAAACTCAAACACGAAAAAAGCAGTAAACTCATTGTCAGCGACACAGCTCCTGCAGGACAACAAGTAAAAAAAAATGTTGAACACGTGTAAGCAACACGCGACAAAGGAAAATCTTATAACCAATTGAGGTCCTTTACCAGCCAGTTCCGATCAGATGCTGTGACAATTGTGCCCCTGAGAACTCGTTTACCAGTGACGCCATTAACTGGCTCCATATGCGACAACTATCATGTATGTGGAAGGCGGCCTTCCCCGCTTTCTACAGTTCTGTTGACTCGGCTACTTTTTCTTGCACTGCATCACTACATTCCAGTATGACAGTAAGAAGATTCCACTGTGGCAAAAAAACGGCAAATATAGAGAGATAAAAAACTTAGAGTAAGGTTTGTTAATTGCCTTTGTTGGAAAGCACTCTTTTTTTTTCAATTCTTTTGTGTGTGTGTGTGCGTGTATGGTCAAATGTGTCACTAGGCACCTAAATTATTTCATCGACTGTACAAAACCAGACAAATCTATTCAAAACAAAGTGAGACGAGGCGAGGCAAAGAAAAGCGGTAAAATATGATTGAGACTGAACACCCTGTAATTACACTAGGATACCACAGGGTACCATGGACGCAGAACTGACCTTGAATTAACGAGATATAATTAACAAAGACAAAATATAAAAAATGCAAAAAAGAACTTAACATAGGAAACAAAAGAAGCTAACGATAGAAGACTAATTAATAAAAGCTGAAAGAAGGCAAAAACGAAACTAAGCATGAGACGCGAAAAGCACTGACAAAGACAACTACGTAATACAGGCGCCTGAAGCTTACATAAATTGTTCTTACATTTGAGGGTGAGATCTTAACTAGTGGCTTCACTTTCATTTCATTTCACAGAAATGTAAGGATATTTTCTAGGGGTAACCGGTCATTTCGCCTACGAGTCGTTTCGCTAACGACGAACTCGCCAACGACTAGGTCGTTTCGCCCAAGACGTTAGCAAACCGGTCGTTGGGGAAACCAATCGTCGGCGGAATGATCGTGAATGACTTTCATTTGGTCCCACAGATTTTTTTTAGCTCGCTACGTTGACTTTACTAGTACTTATTCTAATTTTGCGCGTTGAAAGACATTTTGGAAACTCCTTGACCAGGTGTGATTAGAATTCTCTTAAGTGCATTCTCTTAATCAGCCCTCCAGGCCTTACTTTAGAGCCTTTTTTATAGACTTGCTGTCGAGGAAAGAGGCTAATTCACATGACCCGTTGATTATGAAAGAGATCTTAGGGCTGACACAAACTTGCGAATTCCATCTCAATACTCCATCTTGATATTTTTTGGACCTTTTTTTGTTGTTTCTCATTCTTTTCCTTTTTCGACATCGTTTCTCCATTTCATCCCATTTTCTCCCTTTCTCTATTTAATTTACATTTCTTTTTTTTTTTTGCGTTTTTTTCTTTCTATTTGCTTTCCCTTAGTTTATCGACTTATTAATTCTTTATTTTGTCTGTCATCAGATGCCACAGACCCTAAATTTAACAGTCCTAGCGCTGTTACTTTGTACACTTCTGCCATTCATCAGCACCCAAAGCATCACTCAGAAAAAATGTTTAACGGCGTGTGGAACGTGTCTTCACAAATGTACTTTTAATGAAGATGTTCAGATCAAATTAATGATGGGTACAAACACTATTGACGAACTATGCACTGATCCAGCTTTTAGCTGTCGAAAAAGTTGTAAAATGCTGTCGAGTTATGATCCCTCTCGTTGCTGGTTCGAGGGAAAAAAATAGGACCTAACAAGTTGTGAGTTATGTAACAGAATTAAACAGAATTCAAACAATTTAAAAGTTCTTCGAGTGTTGTTAGTCATGATATGTTGAAAAGGTACGAGTAATTGCTCTTGCTGGAAGAAGCTTAAGATCAGAAGCAACAAGCATCAAACCCAGTATATTTGATGGTTGGAGAGTGTTGAGGGAACTTGTTTAAACGTACTAGAGGGAAATTGAAAAGGTTGAAAAAAAAACATAGCAATCACAAAGGTGATGGTTGCGAAAAGATCCACTGTAAAGATGAATTTGTTGGCGATTGTTATAACTAAACGTCATTTGATGAGATGCTTCGCTTTCTGGTACTAAAATTTCAGAAAATTTCTCCATTTAGTCGACATTCAGATCGTTTTTGAAAGTAATACCTCTTTTGAAATTGATTAGCTTTCAGACAATAAAATACTTCAGCATAAGGTCGGGTGTTACTGGTTAATTTGATTTGCAAGAATTGGATATTACAACCGGGAAATCAATGACTTTTCCCTGATAATCTTTAATATAACCCCACCATCTAAAATCCAAAATCTTTTCTCCTTCAGTGCGTCCCATGCATAACAGTGTTATCAGATGTTATCCATCGTAAAAAAAGAACAGATTATGTGATGTAGTACAAATGGAAAGCCCGTGACTCAATACTTAGGATTAGATATTTTGAGGACAATGAAATTTAAGAAAGAAAACTTTGGAAATTTTAAGAGAGGATGTCAGCATCCATCGAACAAATTTAAAATATTGTGGCAAGTCGCCCAAAATTCTTTTTCTCTCCTACTTTCATATTTTGTAGCCCAATATGTTCTAATAATTGTGGTGTAGTTTTTTTGTGAAAATATATTTTAGTTTTCGAGAAATGACTTTTTTCGTTCGACCGCGCAAATATGCAAATTTTCACCGTGACTATTACCCGAGTTGTGTGACCTCATGTAACGACTGTACTAGACCTACGGTATTTCTGTGAACATAATCCTTTGTTTTATCATCTAAACTTAATCCCCTGTCGTTATTTAAGCTGGCAAAGAAATATTTATTTTTTGGTGAATATTTTTGTCCGACATACTTTTCCTATGTCGAAAAGTAGCATCAAAACAAAGACAGTTTTAACAATAACCGATATGATAAAATCTACTGAGCTTCAAGCTTTTTAAAGACCAAAGGATGGTTATAAAGTTACTGTAAAAATTTCTTAGTGTATTTGTGTTGTTCCATCTTGAGACGAACTCAAAGTCCGGCAAAATTTACTTGATAGCGACTATGAAATATACATGGTGCGCCTACTTGTCGCCACCGTTAATTGGCATAAATCATTACAATTTGTAAAAAAGTCTAACATGACACTCTTACCTTGGTTATTTATGATTTTAATTATCCGTTCCGATTATTATATTACGCCCGGGTATTACTTTTTGACAGGAGCCCAGGTTTTGCGTTGTGTTTTCCCCTCCCTCATTTGTATCATAAGCTAGTCACGCAATAATTGATACCGACACAAGTGAATATTTACCATGTACAAAGATTTTTGTTTACGTTGAATTGAAATTGATGTTTCAGCGGCAGCGAAGCAATTAAAAGCGGGTTTTTGCTTCAACGCTACTGAAAGTTCTAGTATTCAGACAGGCGAGATGCGTGATTCTCTGGTAATAAAAACTTTTATGGGCCTTTTACATGACATCCGAATGAGTTTTGTACAAGAACGAGTTCATACCGGTTGCTACATAATAACCAGCGTAAAATTTATTCGAAATGAGTCATTTCTGAGTGAGTTTATTGGGGTTTTCTTTATAGAACGAAACACTCATTCTGGACGATCCTTTCTACCTGTACAATGTAAACGCAGTACGGCTCTCATATTTGTATGAATCCTCAGTGGGAGCGAGGGAAGCATTGAAAAAGACATAAACACTTGTTTTTACAGGCTAATAATTTTATAGCGGTCGTTTTCGAAATTCTAGGCGCGCACCCCCGCCCTCTTATGTATATTTGTATGAATCCTCAGTGGGAGCGAGGGAAGCATTGAAAAAGACAGAAAAGGACATAAACACTTGTTTTTACAGGCTAATAATTTTATAGCGGTCGTTTTCGAAATTCTAGGCGCGCACCCCCGCCCTCTTATGTATATTTGTATGAATCCTCAGTGGGAGCGAGGGAAGCATTGAAAAAGACATAAACACTTGTTTTTACAGGCTAATAATTTTATAGCGGTCGTTTTCGAAATTCTAGGCGCGCACCCCCGCCCTCTTATGTATATTTGTATGAATCCTCAGTGGGAGCGAGGGAAGCATTGAAAAAGACATAAACACTTGTTTTTACAGGCTAATAATTTTATAGCGGTCGTTTTCGAAATTCTAGGCGCGCACCCCCGCCCTCTTATGTATATTTGTATGAATCCTCAGTGGGAGCGAGGGAAGCATTGAAAAAGACATAAACACTTGTTTTTACAGGCTAATAATTTTATAGCGGTCGTTTTCGAAATTCTAGGCGCGCACCCCCGCCCTCTTATGTAAAGGGGTCCCCCGGGGTGCTGATGCTGCACTTGACATTTAGCAAGGGCAAATTCTGATGTGATTTTTGGCGAAGAGAAACAAGTTTTGTCAGCGTCTAGTTGCTAGTGCGGAAGGGCCCTTTACCACCGTGTACACAATTACGCGTCCCCCCAGACGGCGGAAAGCCAATAAAGTGTTCAGACATTAGTTCAGAAAACTCCGCCTCTGTCTGAATTTTTGGTAGCCTTTTGACCAATTCTCAATCGAAACTTAGTCTGACGTCACGCATAATTTTGCTCACGGTGGAAAGTAGCCTACTTACCGAAGCCAGATTGTACGAATTTTCCAGACATCTTGAGTACTATCTATAATACACGCTTGCCAATTCCCCTATCAGCTTTTGGAATCGACTTAACCCTACCTTTACCATGGCCGGACATTTCTTTTGGCACCCTGGATCTGCTATTGGAACCACGATTCCACCCAACACCGAGATTTGATCTGTGAGAGGGGCAATTTGTAAAATCATCGATATCTTTTGGCGTCTCGAAGATGCTGTCACGCGACAAAACAAGATCAACTTCATTTTCTGGATCTGAAAACTTGTAACTTCGCAAGTGACTTGAAATGTCTTTTTAACAATCACGCAAGGGAACGACTTGGTCTTCTCGATAACTAAACCCACAAGTCCCACCAGCAAACGATTTAACTGAACAGGAAATCTCCATGGCAGCATGTAAGATGAGACGCTTATAAAACAGATCAGTTAGTTAAATCAGTATGTAGCTTGTCAATCAAATTGACTATTGTAACCATACTTTGACTTTAGCTGGCAAAGGAATCATCGATGGATCTGGACATTTTAGTTTTCCGAATGCAGTAATTCCTGAAAGGTTTTTCTAGATGTCATGCAAAGTGGAAAAAAAACCCATCTCTTGGTATTTCGGAGGTTGATTTATCTTTGAATTTCTGTGTCACGCTTGTCATACAACTGATATAATAAGATAGAGAAGATATATAAACTGCAACTCAAATCTGGCTAGAATGTGGTAATTAACGTGATCATCGAAACAGCTAATAAAATCATAAATAAACAAGGTAAGAGTGTTAGGTTAAATTGTAGTGATTTATGCCAGTTAACGGTGCGACAAGTAGGCGCACCATGTATATTTCATAGTCGCTATCAAGTAAATTTTTCCGGACTTTGAGTTTGTCTCTAGATGGAACAACACAAATACACAAGGAAATTTTTACAGTAACTTTACAATCATCCTTTGGTCTTAAAAAAGCTTGAAGCTCAGTAGATTTTGTAATATCGATCATTGTTAAAACTGTCTTTGTTTTGATGCTACTTTTCGACATAGGAAAAGATTAGTATGTCGGACAAAAATATTCACCAAAAAATAGATATTTCTTTGCCAGCTTAAATAACGACAGGGGAGTAAGTTTAGATGATAAAACAAAGGATTATGTTCACAGAAATACCGTAGGTCTAATACATTCGTTATATGAGGTCACACAACTTGGGTAATATCAAGGGGGGAAAATTTGCATATGTGAGCGGTCGAACGAAAAAAGTCATTTCTCGAAAACTAAAAATATATTTTCACAAAAAAACTACACCACAATTATTAGAACATATTGGGCTACAAAATATGAAAGTAGGAGTGAAAAAAAATTTGGGTGACGTGACTTGCCGCTGTTTGTTTGATGCATGCTGACATTAGCTCTTAAAAACTTTCATAGATTTGGGATGTTTGAACGCTAAAAGTAAAGGTTGCCACCAGCAATTCTCTCCTAACTACTATTTCTTGTTTTTCTTTTTTTTTATTTCTTGACTAATCGTAAAATCTTTATACTCAGGGGCCTCAAAATCGAATATCTTCCTGATTTCATCGCGCCTTTTCTTATTCTGTTGCCCTATTGGTATCTGGTGCGTTTATTTGCGATTGGAAAACACTTACATGACCTAAATTTTTAAATTTTGCACTTTCTCTCACTCCAGCATAGGTCAACTTGCGTTACACCATTACAAAAAAAGAAAACCGTGATAAACGGTAACAGTCTTACTCCAGTGATTTGTTTCGGTGAGTTCTCGTTGCTGTCGCCGCACGCAATGGTGTGCTTGACGTTTGTGCGTTATTAACCACTTTGGTTTAGCTGACCGCTTCAGAAATCAAACCGAAATTGTTCGAAGAAGTCATTTTCAGTCTTTTTTAATATTTTCCTTTCTTGGCCATCCTTGTTCTTTCTTTGTCGATCAATGCCTCTTCTGTGTTTTTCTTTACTGCAAGACCAGTTTCTTGTGGTATTCCTCAAAGAGACGTAGTTTTGCAGGGCACTAAAATGACTTAAGACCGTAAAGTACATATAGGTCCTTTACCAAGCGACGCTATAGATCAGCAAAAAAGTCATCTGTCGCTTTTTTCGTCGGAGTTTCCCTCTTTTTTTTACCACTAGGATCTACACGCAGTGTCTTAAGATGACTTACATCCCAAAACTTGATGCTCTGATCATGAGAACAACTCGCCAGAGTGTTTCCATCACTTGATATGCGCATTCTTTCCACGGGAAAATCCTTGTGTTCTCCAACAGTACCAACGAAACGATTGGGTAAAATATGCACAGCTCTGATGGTTGTAAGGAGGAAAACTTAGCATTAAATACCAGAGTACGTTTACATATCACTTCATAATCAGAATAATTCTCTTTGTCATATAATTTACGGTGTCATATAAGGATTTCCAGCCCTGAGAAAAGCCGTAACAACACACGTGAAAAAATATCGTATGTTTTTACTTATGTTTGATATTATTAGCTGCTGACACGTCGATCGCCTTTCGCGCTACTCAGCGATGTTGATGAATGAACGGCAGAGCCTTCATCATGCTCAATCGAAGGTCGTTTGACGAAATTTTTTCGAATTATGGCGACTGAAACATTGAAAAATTCGTATCGCTTACAGAAAATGGCGTTCAAACTTTCTTAGAAGGGTAAGAAAATTACGGAGAGAAAAGCCGAAAATTACGTATTCATTGGTAATGGTATTTCTCGCGGCTGGGAACGAAATTCGACAACTAGAAGATTTGACACAAGCTGATTTTGGCCGTGCACCTGAAAGATTTCTTCTGTCGGCAAGGACTAAGTCAATAACTGAGAATTTTGAACAATGAAAATTACGCCCATTATTGTTTTTGTAATGTTTTTTTTCATCTTAAGCCTTAGCGCCAACGCACTCTACGATTTCTATTCAGAGATTGTCGATTCTTTTATTTTCATTCATTAGAAGAGAACCGCCGCATCTAAGTGCAAAAAAAAAAATCTAGAAATCCGGGTATGATTCGGCTATGAAGTCTAAATCAGTTCCGTGTACGAATTTCTTTTCCTGTTTATAAATGTTTTTCAGTTCGAAGAGGCAAGACATCTCTTCTCCTTCATGTCGCTCCTATATTCAGATCACAAATGGGGCAGTGATATTGAAAATGTGTAAACATACAACAAAACCCTACAAAGCGCGAGCCCATTTTTCCCAACAAAACGAAACAAAAAATGGCACTTTACCGTGTTTCGGTTTTCATGTGGGTGTCTTCCTTTTTTATTTTTTTCAAATAAATTGAATGATTGAAACACGACACCTACATACATGAAGGCGCCACCCCAGAATAGGCACTGCGTTTGAGTCGAAAAAATCTAATAAACGCCGTATCAATCAGTCTAGTTAAAACAGTTTTACTATGAGTTATAAATGACATCTTACGCCTTTTATCTTTGTTCGGATATCCGACTGAGATTATGTTTAATTTAACTGACTTTATCTGAAAGTCAATCGAAGAGTGCACTAGACAAACGTTCCGATCTGACTTCTGGGTTGTTACTGGAAGTCTGCAGGCGACGGGAAACCGTTGGCTTTCAGACCATTTTACACCACCTATTTTTGAAGTGCGATTTAAGACTGAACAGTATTTTTGGACTGATTCTAACGTCAACGTTTGGCTAAAAGAAGTTACTCTAATATTTCCGAGAATGCTAGAAATCAAGTCTCAGAGAGTATTAAATTTCAAGTTTTTTTTCCGGAGAACCCCCTAAAAGGGCGTGTTGCTTTGCAACACGCCATGTTTGCTAGGGAAGCATAATTTAATTAAGCCACCAACTCAGTTCCGATCATTCAACTACTAAATTTTGGACAGTGGAATCTCCTAGTTGGGTCACATAAACGCAAACAGTAACACATTTCAATCACACAAAATATGGGATTGCCACCCACCTTATTATTCCGTCCATTGAGCCTGTACAGACGATATTATCACTAACAGCCACACACGAGTCAATGGATAATGGATGACCCGGAAAACGGTCAGTTATGTCACCCCACTCACCCCAGGTGAACAGGTTCAGAATGCCATCACCAGTGCCGCAAACCACCTTTCGCCCACTCTGTAAAAAAATATACATGAGATATAACCATTAACAGAACTGGGAGCTCTGCGATGCATATTTTCGTGCCAAAGGTAGACTACTGAGTTCGTCAAAGATAAAGTTTCTAAATCGGAAAAGAGGGATATTGAGATTCGAACGGAAAAAATTCCGGTTACATGAGAGAGAACACTCCGGCTCCCGGTCTCCCTCAAAGCCGTTGTGCAACGAGACTAAACAACGAGACTAAACAACGAGACTAAACAACGAGACTAAACAACGAGACTAAACAACGAGGCTAAACAACGAGGCTAAGCAACGAGACTAAACAACGAGACTAAACAACGAAACTAAACAACGAGACTAAACAACGAGACTAAACAACGAGACTAAACAACGAGACTAAACAACGAGACTAAACAACGAGACTTAACACGAGACTAAACAACGAGACTAAACAACGAGACTAAACAACGAGACTAAACAACGAGACTAAACAACGAGACTAAACAACGAGACTAAACAACGAGACTAAACAACGAGACTAAACAACGAGACTAAACAACGGTTGGCAAGGAGACCAATAAGCTCCGAGATATCAGCTGACCGATATCATTCGTATACTACCTGCATTGACAAAGGCATGCACGTTTGGACCCATTGCCCGTGATCCAAATATATAACAGATTATAATGAAAGGTAGTTTTTGGTAAACTCACAATGTTGTGAGAATCCTGATAGCAAGAAATAGCAACCAAGTCTCCAATTAAAAGTGGTATACCAGCGTTACAAATGTGTCTATCACGAGTGATTACATAATGTTACCTTGACAACAGCAACAGACAGAAGTTCACTTTCCATGTTGTCTGACTGCTGCTCAATCTTTTGACGCCGAATGTTAAACACGGATAAAGAGCCATCACCACTTGGAAAAACAAGGTAAGAAACAAGCCAATAAGCCAGGGATCATTTTGATTTAAACATTGCACGTTATCAACCGAACAAGAGATCAAGAAGGATACTGGCAAAGCCCTTTTAGTCGATTCACAGAACACAATGCACGCTTAAGCGTTAAATAGGGTACTAAATTTTGACGAATCAGCACGATTCGCACGGGTCAATTCGACTCGACTCGTCATTAGCTAAGTAGATCCGTCTCACCCGAAGTCGATTCACAGACGAACATAAGATACACTTATGCGTTAAATGGGGGTATTAATGTTGACGAATGCATGACCCACTGAGTTTCATAAAATCCATCCCCAAGCGTCTGTCACTTTCTTGCTGTTTTCACGTTAATTTTTTTCTTCCCATCTCAGTGCACTGGGAATGCCCTCTCGTTGAAATTTACCACTCTACACCTTGAGAGTGAGGCTGAGGCTGAGGCTGAAAATGATTATTCTAACCATGATAAATGTTGAACTTCGTAGTGGCTGTTGAAAAGTCCTGCATGCAAGTTTCAATCGCATTTCATGCTTTTAGCCACCTATGAAACAATTTTATCTAAGACCTCATCCTACCTTGCAGCTAAAAGAGTTCGTTTCTCTGCATCACAATCCATGTCAGAGATAAAGTCTTGATTGTCTGCCACTGTCATCACACAAGAAGTTTGCCTTGTGTCCCAGAACTGCAAATAATACATCTTTATCAAATTTATGTTAACTTTGAGTAGTTGAAACCATTGAAACCATCTGAAAGGTTAATACTTCCAACTAAGCCAGCTTTCAATTTATGTTATTTCATTTTTTTTCTTTTTTGTTTTTCCTCTGGGATGAGTATCACAGAATAAGATAAGTAAGATGCACCAGACCTTCCTGTTGCATTTACAAAATACAAAAGCCACACACACAAAAGACCTTTATTTTTTGGATTGCTTGAATACTGATGAGTTCAAACCATGCATAACAACTCTATTCTTTGAATGTCAATTTATGAGTTTGTTTTTATTCAATCACTGAGTCAGCTTAGAAACCTTCCAGTATAAACTGATGCACAATATGATTAATTATTCTATATCTTGCACGCACACCAGAGTCACTACACAGCCCAGCCCCTGTTTTAGAAGATTTAATATAACAGTATAAATGTCAAATTCCTAACAAATAAAAACAATGTGAAAGTATCATTGCAAAATAAACAAAGTACAGAAGTTCTCCTCATCCATTCAACTGCTTTCTATCAGTTTGACTCTTGAAATTTTTAATTGGTAAAGAAATATCTTACCTTCACACAACCATCATCATCACCTGTAGCTAGGAGGCTATCTGTTATGACCTTCATACAATAAACTGGGGAGCTAAAAGTCATAAGAGAAATAAAAAACACTAAAGATAGCACTTAAACTAGCTAACCAATATGAAGTTCCAAGTGAAATCTTAAAACAAATTTAAGTACAAATATATTGTGGGAGATCCACCAAATAGCTCTTCAAGCCTTGATTTCAGGTAAAATTGGAATAGTGGTGGTTTTGGTAAAAGGAGGAAAACTGGAGAAAAATCCCTAAAGCAATGCAGATAACCAAGATATAACCTTCATGAGAAGCCAGGTAGACAGGGTAAAATATGGACCACAACAGTTGACAAGTAATCCCTGTGTCAGAGGAAGAAGGAATTGCACTCTCATATTTAGTAAATCTCAATCATAAAATCTCAGACATGGTTTTTGAGAAACCATTGATCCTCACATTGTTGTTGTGTTATGTCTATAACTAAGTGTACTTACTTGTGTGCTTTTACAATTGAATGAGCAACTGCCCCTGAATTCATGTCAACAGCCTGAAGTGATTTGTCCTTGGAGCCTGAATAGAGATCTACATATAGCACAAGGAAAAAACAACAGCAATTCACTACAATCTCTAAAAGCAATAATACAACACAAAACATGAAACGTTTACTTAATTTGACCTGTGAGATACCTGATAAATTAAGAAACATAATACACACACTCTACTTCAGAAGAAAAAAAAAAGAAGAAAATTAGCTTGTTGCAGTGTAACTACCATTTCCCTTTTGTAAACTGAGTTTAAAATAAGTTAAGAATCAATAGATTGTTAACAACTGTAGCCACTTCTGAATTGCAACATTTAGACTGCTTACTGCTAGCCCTCTAGAGGTGATGAGGTTCCCTTAGCACTAAGCAGTTGAAATGTAATGGTCCACAAAGAATGCCACAACATTATTAGACAAATGATAACCCTCTTGTTTTGTTTTATTTTGTTTTCATAAGCTATCATGTACAATGAATAACCTTAAAAAAATGTATATATATGAAAGAACATTACTCCTCACACAAGCCATCAAGAGAGAAGGTCAGTGCTCTACAAGCTTTCTTATGATGGTGAAGCTCCAAGAGTAAATGATTCTCTTCAGAAACTGAGTATGAATGGCTGAAGAATTGAAGCAAAAAAAAAGGAAATTTAGATAAATACTATCTAAACCCATTAACTTCACAAATAATAATTTGCCTAACAAAATTTCAACAGCTCATTGGTTGAAAACATGTCACTTTATCCCAAACAGCACAGAAAGTTGAAATTGAGTATACAGTAGATGATTGCATATTTTATTGTCCATATATTTAAAAAGAATATTGCCTGCTAGCTCATAGATATGAATTTTATGCTCTTTTTACAAACAATATCACTCTTCTGTTGAACTCATTGATGAGATATTGTTCTTGCTACTTGAACATAAAATTCATATCTTCTTGCCACCATATAATATTCTCTATTCATAGTATTTAATCAGCTACAGTATTAATACTACAAATAACACTTAGAGTTATTGCAATACTTAGAATGCTCATGTTACTCATTACAATTTACACTACAAATACTCATATTAAAGACAACTCACCACAGGATTTTTATCCATCAGCTCATTCTATAAACCTTATAATACTAAAACCACTTTTAATACTTTTATAATTAGCCAGCTTTGCAAACTTATCATTTGATTTTTTCTAATGAGCCTACTCCACATACTATACAATACTAACACTGCTTACACTCAGTGAGGTAGTTAAAATTTTGGAGGGGTTGAAACAGCACATCACATTACAGACACAATGCAAGTACTTCAATAAGATTTTTTAGTCAAAGTGGTTAATGGCAAATTAGAATAGATAATTGAGATTTTGAATGAACCAACCACATATTTTCTCCAGCTGATATCACAAAGGTAGATAAATAAATAAAAACAGATAAATAAGTAACACAAATATCATAACAATGTTTCCCATTTTTTCCTAAAAATCTTGATGCTTCTCATTTTTTGATTCCACAAAAAAATCAGTCTCCAGTTTCACACTACCAGATATGTAGAAAATAATTGTTTTCTTGTACATTCCCATAAACATAGTTACCAAAAATTATAACAAAATTTAGTCTATCATTTCCATTTTAAATAACTTCTAATTAACATCATATAGGCTCAGATTTTCACTCCAGATCACCTATTGTAAAATCTGTTCCCAAAGGGATGCACATAGGAACAGTCATAAAAGAGAAGCTTATCATACTTACACTGTCACCCTTCCATCAATTTCTCCAGCAGCAATAACATCTCGATTTGGATGAAAGCTCAAATCAAACACTTGGTTATCAAAACTGATATCATCTGGAACATCATCTTCTCCATCTTTTCCCTTGATAAACAATATATTAGGAAAAGAAAGGATCACCTGTGATCTTATGAAACAAGTGCTCAAGGGTCAACTAGATTTATTGGGTCACCTTGATCATTTATTTTGTTTAATATCAATTTTCTATAAGTCCCCTATGGATAAAACTTTTGTATTGTGGCCTCTTTGTATTAAAATTGTTATCAATATTACCTCAGGCATATAGCTCAAATATTAAGCAAACTTTGTAATATCACAAGTTCAGTTTTTTTCATGATTGACAGTGTTTGTTGCTTTAGAATATATGATTTGTTCAATTCACAAAAATGTGATATGTAACAAACAATACAGCAGCCCTGATCAGAATAATGGTCAATGGCAAAATGGATGGTCAACTGATGAACTGATAATCTTCCCATGATCCAACAGCATACAACCGTTGTTCCACTGACTCCTTCATTGAAGTAGACCTCTCTAATACTGAGGTAATTTTAGTTTTGTCAACTGAGTTGATAATGAAAATTGGCCACCATTAAGAGTTCAAAGCTGACATTTCAAGCATTAGCCCTTCATCAGAGCAAATGCAGGAATTATGGGTTTTGTGTGTGTTTATATGTGGAAAATAGAGCTACACTGTTGGTGGGAACATAGCCACAAGAAAAATAGGAAAAAATTATTTGCATGAAAAGGATTTGTTGATACTGTAGGGATTAAGAGTGTTTCTTTTTCTTAAATAAATGGCTACCTTGTTACTGTCCTTCAAGCAGGCCACTACCCCGCCCAACAAATAGACAGTCAGCACAAAAAATGTCAGAGAAGGAAAATACTACTCAACTAATTTATTCTTGTTTTTCTTGTGACCATGTTCCCACCAATAGCATAGCTCTATTTTCTGTATGTAAACTCACACAACCCACAATTCCTTCATGTTCTAAAATATAATTAATCAATAAATTTTTGGTTTGTTTTCATAAAGTATCCTTTTTTCTTCCTTGTGCTTTATAACAAGTCACTTGATGACTGTTCCTTGGGAAACAGTCTATGTTATTTTCCTTGGGACCAGTAGTTTTTATTCTAATCTTCTCACATTATTCACATAAATGTCATTTCTTGTGCATGCAAATTAGCAACTAAAACAATCTATGGATACTAGTGACAGTATGGTCCAAGGCGAGGCACAGTCTGCAAAGGAGGCAAGGTTACCAAATTGACTTCCAACGGTCGTGAGTGGTAGCGAAAGTGGCCTAGCATCGGTTTTACGGGGAAGATTGAGTTTTTAGTGAATTGAAATGAAACTGCAGCATATGCGCTTGGATTCTGTGATGGATTTGTGGCCGCCTGGTCATTTTGAGCTTGGATATTTTGCTTCTTGGATCGGGCATTCGGAAATGGAGTGTACAGCTTTGGTTTTCTATTATGTAGTTAATCTTGAGATGGATAACTTGCTAAAATGGGTACTTTTCGACATAGTAAGCAGTCAGATAACAAGCGACGCATTTTTATTGAGAATTTGACTGTAATTTTCTATTCCTAAGAGCGGTCGTAAATATTCCTAGACAAAGTCTTTTAGTTTCGGCATGACTCTTATTCCGCAAGATGATCATCTTACAGCTGGAGTGTGGGCGACTGTGCACCAGCCAGCCGATGATATACTATCAACCCAATATTTTTTAGTGTTTCCAAATGGTCATTTAAAATGCTCTGTTCCATAGCATTCTTCGACGTGGAAATTTTTCACGAGGCATATAAAGTGCTAGGGCATAAATGTGAAATCCTCTAAAAAATTCAGAAGTCGCCGCAATTTGATCTCTCTCCGAAGTTGCCTTGGGGAGGTATTTAAGCCCCTGATTTTGACGAACCACATGCACCATAAGACTATATGGCCATTTCTACATATTTTGGTTGGCATAAGATCTAATAAACTTGAAAAAAATTAAAAGTTACTTCATGAATTTAATCTAACCTACCTCATGAGAATGCTCGTTTGTTTGTGCCGCCATTTTGTTTTCATATGGACACGTGGTTAGTTTGCTCGCCTCAGATTTCCTCGGTCGAGTAATTCAAGATGGCGGCATCATTTCCTAGCGTAATTACAGTCCAAGCACCTATAACATCCATACCCCTACAACGTATTTCTTTATTCCTTTGTACTTTGCCACTTTTCTCGTTTGTATCTTGCGTGTTGATCGCTCTGGTTTGGCATTTCGATGATACTACAAAGACTCATTGCCAGGTGAGAATGCTTTGTACCCATGTATTAGGCGCGCATATAAAATCACGTTGTGTGCAGATGTCCGGCACCCGGACAGGTTCTTGAAATTACTCCGTGTCCTGCAATCGGACAGGTTCTAGAAATTACTTCGTGTTCGGCAGTCGTAATATTTTTTTTGTATTAATCCACACTATCAGGTACGTTCTTAGATGGCTGGACACGTCACGATATCCACCGAACTGCGAGTTTTGCCTAAGCTCGGCGCCCAGTGTTCATTTAGATAGCTGGACACGTTACCCTCTCACTCCCAAGGTCTCATAGATAATTCTGCTTACCATCTCCTCTACAATTCTTTGTCATGTTTTTAGGAAGAATTTGGGTTTGAATCAACTAATAATCCCCTAATTGATATTTTTAATTGTTATTCTCCTCACTTATCTGCTTGATAATGTACTGATGTTGTAAGGAGAAATTCTGTCTTGGTCACTCATGGGAGTAAAAAGGTTAAAACGAAATCTATGACTTAGAGGCTTGTTATGAGCTTCTGAACACAGAATCCATAAATACTCCCTGTCCAATGGTCAAAAGTTTTCCTCAAATTTAAGTTTTACTGTGCAATTAGGTTTGAATTATACCACACTAGGCAAAGCTGTTGTTGTTTTTGTCTAACCCTAATTGCCCAGCCAGTAATAAGTAAACACAGAGTGTTGAGCTTATGTAAAACATCCTTTGGTGGAAATTGTGACAGCACAGTCCAACTATCTAAAAACATATCTGATGGTGTGAATTGAAGTTAGTGAATATTTTCAACTGCCAGATACAGAGTAATTTTAAAAACCTGTTTGGCTGGTCAAAGTTGAAGTTTCAAATTGGTCAGTATATGATGCTGATAAACTGTTGTAAAGTGTTGTCTAATTTGCTTAACTCAATATGTTATCCACTGAAGTCGTTGATTTTAAGTTGTGTGAAAAAAAGTTATAACAAGCATTTTCCAATCTAGAAATTGAAGCAAAAGTCCTAGAGTTTATCAATAATACCTTTCTTGCTTACAGCTCTGAGTTGTTTCTTTGTAGAAAAGAATTTATTCTTAATAAAGGTCATTTGATAGTTGTTAACGAATTGGGAAGCATCACCCATTACTGAGTAGTGTGCTTCTAAATTACAAGCATAGAAAATTGGTACAGAGACAGTCTTGCATCATAATTGTGATCAAGCTAGCCTATCTAGTACAAGTAATTTTAACATCAGCAGACTTGTCCTGCTAGTTAAGTTCCATATTGTTAGTATTAAAGTACAGTGATATCATAGTTAGTTTTTAGGTACTTTATTTATCACTTGGTAATAAGTTAATATCAGTTGCTCTACTGTTCAACTTGCTAGTGCATATACATTATTTTTTTGGTTATAAGGCGCAGCATTTTTCAAAGAAAATGTGCCTGTTCAATTGAAATCCGGTCTAAACTCGAGGTGCATCTTATAGCCAAGTATGTTTGCACCACAGAATATAAAATTTGGAGACCTGCATTCTCAGCAGCACCTGGATTCAAAGCTGACGAATGCCTTTGAAGATCACCTTTGGTGGAAGTTTCTCGTCACTCGCCTTCGCTGCTAGGAAAACAATGAAACTCTGCTTATGGCCACCACAGGATAAAATCAGCTCCTCCAAATCGCTCTGATGAAGGGCAAACGCTCAAAATGTCAGCTTTTTTACACTTTACAGTGGCTAATTTATGTTTTCAACTCAGCTGTTAACACTAAATTACCTGCTAAAATCGGCACTGTTTGGTTTCCATTGAACTCCAATGCCCTTGTGGCTGGCAACTCGAACCTCACTAGAGTTTTGTACATGTTAAGGATGTGGCTGGACTTGTAGCCACAACGCTGTCAGGATCTCAGCACGATTTAAGCAATGGAATTCAATCACCTTCTCTTTCATATCAGCTGGTAGATGCTGTGCCAAAGTGGTCTTTGCTCTCAAGGAAATGGCATGGTGACATTTCCAGTTTGTGTACCAGCCAAGGGATGCTTTTAACTCTGGATCGGAGCTGAGTTCCTCTGCTTTCAGGCAGAGCCTCAAGATGTGTACTGATATACCTGCAAATATCAAAGGAAATATGCAGTCAGCAAGTGGACAACATAATCAACATTTTAACAAGAATTTACACTAAAACAGTGCAGTTATCAATGACAATGCATAGATGTTGAATGAACAATATTCACCTTGGCTTCTTTGATTGCTGAACCAGTGCGCCTTGAACTGCTTATCAAGCTTTGGATCTTTTGGCCAGTAGTGACCCATCGAGTCACATTTCACTGTCATCTTTAACTTGTCTGTAAACAAGACGTATTGCTAGTTTCTCCATTTACAGACCATCAATTACAATATGCCATATTTGCAAGCAATTTCACAATTGTTGTTCAGGGCTTCTGCCTCTGCTACAATATTCAACTTGAAGTTTAGATCGTAGGAATGATGATGAGTACACTTGGCATGATGGTCTCTGATTTACGGTATGCTGAACAATTGCTTTGAGAATGAGATTGTAGTTTTGAAACTGATGAAAGTTTCATCAGCTGAGTGTTGTTTATAAATGTTAAAACAGAATTTGAAGAAAGCAACAAAACTTTTGAGTCTGTAAAATATGTTTCCACAGAAACTTCTGTCATCTTCAGTTAATTACCATACAAAGCATTGAAAGTTGAATTATATAGCAAGTAGAACAATGCTAATTAAGATGAATAGTGACTACAAGAAAAGAGGTAAAGCATGAAAGTGTGAGAATTAAAAAGATAATTTTAGATTTACATGGTGTAATTGTTGATTCAAGGATGGTTGTTCTCTTTGAATATGAATAGCCTCTTTTATCTTAAGCTGAAAGCCAGTAGCCCAGGTTCCCTTCCTACCACTTCACCTACGTTCTACTTTAAGCTACCCTACATAGGCCACGAGTATTTAGGAGTAATTTTTGGTTTGTAAACTTGATAGAATTATGTTTAAAAGTTAAGGGTGCGTCTTATAACCAAGTGTGTCTTATAACCGAATAAATACTGTAAACTGCACTTGCATTCTAAGAAGCTGTTTTTCTTGCTATTTTCCTGCAATAATAAAGGCTGTCTTTGTCCCAAACATTGCTTGGTGTTTTGTTATGTGGTTAGGACAAATGTAATAGAAACCTTTTGCCTCACTTTACCTTTTCCTACTTCTGATAAGTCAAACCTTTTACTAACCAATAATTATTAACCCTTTAACTCCCTGATCAAATTTATAATTCTCCTTACTGTCAACCATACAATTCTTATAATGCTAGTTTAGAGAATTTAGAGTTGGATCAACTAATTATCCCCAAACTGATATTTTTCTTTATTCTCATCACTTATTTGGTTGATATTGTATTGATACTGTAAGGAGAAATTCTGTCTTGGTCACTCAAGGGAGTTAAAGGGCAAAACTGTTCTATATGGTGAAACTTGGTTTCCTGGAAAATCAGGATCAGCCATTTAGGGATTGGGGATCAAGAATCCCTTGTCCTCATTTTCCAATCCTGGTTTTCTAGAAAACTGTGAAACCAAGTGCTACCTGGTCTTAACTATAAAAACATCTGACAAAATAATTATTATAACAACAAGTTACATGTAGTTGCAACTGTCTTTTATTATCTTAACAGCATATCATGTGTGCTTTTCAAAATGGTTCCTAGTATTTCCCATTTTCCTGATGAGGTAAACATCTGATTTGTTATCCTTCTTTAAATTTAAGGTGCCAAACTACTTGCCTTCAATAAGTGCAGCAATTGGGGGAAACATGCCAGAGATGTTTATTTGGAGAGTTGCAATAGCTCTGCATTGCTTTCCTCGAATCCTACTTTTACCATCTGCAATCCATAAACACTACACAAATACACAATCAGGCAGGATTTATCACTTGACAACTTGGTGGTTTAAGCCGCTCAATTTTCTAAACTACATTTTGGAAATAATAGAAAATGGAGCCCTCCTCTCAATGACCTACATTTCATCAGTCGAAAATCATGGTGAGCCTTGAAAATTTCAATTGAGTTTGAAGAGTGGTATTGGATTGCCTTGGTTGCTGTGCTTGTCACTCAGTTATTGGCCCAGGACACTTTCAGCACATTATCTTGGGACTAGCAGCCAGTCAATGAGTTAACACTATGCTTTAAAGGCAGTTTAATGATTTTACTTTGAGTCCTCTCAGCCTTTGTGATACTTTTGTTTGTTCTGATTAACCATTGTGAATTATGATTGCATTAGGTTTGGTTTTACATCACCATTTAACTGCCAATCATTTGCAAAGTAGGCTCACACATTTCTTTCGCAAAATTCTTAGAAAGATTGCAAACAGCAGCCTTCTTACTTTCATCTAAATTTTCTTAAAAAAAGAGTTGCCACTGGCATCTAAAGCTATACATGTGTGACACTTTCAAATTTGGAGATTTATGTTATTGTTTTCTGTATTTGCCTTAGAACCAAGAGCTCGCCAAACAGAAACAACAGATCCTATCTGTGTTTACTCAGGGACTGTTGGCTAGCAAAGTTTTGTCCTTTTTCTTATCCCCTTCTGATTCATAACTGTGCAGACTGGCCAGCATTGCTGCAGAGCTTATCTCAGTTTCTGTGATATGAAAGAAAAGGAGTATGATATACTTTTCTTTCTGGATGAGATGGAAGTCCATTCTAGGTTGCTCTTTAGCACAAAGACTCTCGGGTGGGACAATCAAACCCTGATCACTTAATTTTGAGCTAATTATGGAGATACAGGCTGTAAAAATGGTAGACTTTCTCAACAAATTTATAAGGGTTTCCTCTTAGGACTTCATTGCATACATGTGCTTACCACAGCAGGAAGATGACTTGTCTGTTGGGTTAGAAAGTGAGGTGTTATTGACAGATGGTGGTTATTTTGAGGATAATAGGAGAATGAAGACTTCACCTTTGTAGGATTATTAAATTTCAGTCAATGATAACATTAGAAATAATATTCCCATCTAAAATGTGTATGTTTCAGCTATGCACGAAGCTTCCTTTATTGTATTTATGGTGTGCTCCATGAGTTACATGTTTCTATCATGCATTCTATCTGGATTGACAGCAAGCAAACCAATGAGCAAAGAGGTATGTACACTGTACACTATACTGTGGAAACCACCAACCTGTTAGGGAATGGGTCCAAATCTTGTAAGTTGTAAGGTTTTTCTTACTGTGTTTCATTTGTTTACCCTCCATTTAATCAAACTGGAAAAGTTATTGTTTAATTAAAGCAATTTCAGTTATTGGTAGAGTGCAGTAATGACAATTTGTACCACACACTTACCCCATTGTCTAATTTTTCAGGATTCCTCCCTATTCAGAAAAAAGGTGTTTGCCATGATCTTCAACTACTTTTCATTCGGTATGGCAGTTTACTTTTTCTTCAGACACAATTGGTACTGTGAACCTGGTGGTATCCTTGAAAGTTAGCATCATTAACATCTTTGAAATGTAGGGGGGTAGTTCTTATTTCACAATTTGGGAAGTAGGGAGGAGCAGGAGACTTTTGGGATTTCTGAAGCCCACTGTCGACTAAACAATGGTTCTAATAGTGATTCCCACCCACCCTCAAACTGCACTAAACAAACTTTCTATATATACTTGTAGCTGATGGCAACTCATTCTAATGGGGATCAAAAGAAAGAAATGTAAGTTTTGGATCTTCTGGTCATAGATGTTTCATAGATGGGATTGCCCTACCACCCACCACCCCCTCTCCTTCAAAACTTCCCCTCCAAATCTACCAAACCTCTGCATTAAAAATTAACAGTCCTTAAAAGGAAAGGGGATTTGTGACTTACTGCAATATGGGATATGTGTTGCCAATAATTTTGAGTACTCCATCAAGTAGACAGGAAAAAATCCTTTTTTATCATTGTTTGTCTTAACATTATTTCCCACTCACAGTATATACTCTGTTTGCCCTTGGCGAGTATTGCACAGTCCTATCCAATGTGGCCTTTCACTGGCATTGTTCAAAGCATTTTAATGGTGCTATCCTGATGCTGACCTTTGTTGAGGACATGAAAGTGAACTGAAAGAAATAAACAAATCTTGAAAAAAAGAGTCTTTTTCACATTTTAGCCTGATGAAACCATTCAGGTTTTTTTCCTTTTTGCTGAAGGATGTGAGAGATGAAGAGCCAGTGATCTCTGGGGTGAGAGAATTGAAAAAATCCGGTCCTTGAATAATATTATTAACTGTTACTAACGTAAATTGGCCAAAGTAAGGAGTTCCAAAGCTGACGTTTCGAGCGTTAGCCCTTCGTCAGAGCAAAAAACGTAGGGCTAACGCGTGAAGTGTCAGCTTTGAAACTCTTTACGGTGGCTAATTTGCGTTATCAACCAAGTTGATAATACTTAATTACCCTGTCATACTCTCCCACCGAAGTATCACCACAGTTTCTTTAGAAACCTACTGAAATTGTGAACGAAATGGATTAGGTTGTCTCGCGTTGTAACCGTGGATTTGGTTGCTTTCGCAAATACATTTTCAAATTTTCAAGGTAGGGTAGTGTTTTGGAATGAGAACATTACTGAAGTAGCTGTATTTGATGAATGTCACGAAATTTAAGTTAAGTTTTTTCCAGATTATAAATATTTACATTACGGAGTACTTCATAAGTGCATCCTATTATTTCTGTTCCAGATGTTGAATTTTGCAGAGTATTGAGAATAATTTAAATTCTTTTGGTTATTAGTGTACTTGAACATACCATACAATTAAGTCTGCATTAAGAGTATTTATTTTTTATAAGTTTTTTTTCTTGAGTGTAAAGATCAGAAGTTAATTTAGAAAATTTATGTATATGGATACAAGAAAAACAAAACGTGTAACTCAAGAGTCAACGGAAATGGAAACATTTGTTCCAGAATCAAGTATTAAAGTTTTTTCTTCGATGGAAAGTACGAAAAATTGGAATGCCTATCATTTGTTCAGGTTTACTTGATTTGTGTGGATAAAAAAGACATTTTCAATTGAAAGTATTAAGTGCAGTGGAACCCTGTTCATACGGTTACCGATGGACCAAAACAAACCAGCCGTATTACCGGGGTAGGGTCAAAATTCATGACCAAAGGGCTGTTGAGGAAAATATATCGTATTCACACTTCCTGAACAACTGTTTTTCGTTAGTAAATAACTGGTATGTGAAGTTATTAAGAAAACAGTTAACACTTCACTCAACACATAAAACATTTTTACAGTCAGTTAGTAAACCGCCACAAATGCGTTTAAGTGTACTGGTTTCTTAAACCGTATCGAAGGGGTGAAATTATGAAAGATTCTTTTGTTTGATGGTAAAATGTGACCCGTATTGACGAGGGTTTTTTTTTTTTTTAAAGAAAATGTACAGCCGTCAAACGACTGCCTTGGAGGGTTTACCCGCCGTGATTTGTTTGATCCAAACCGGCATATTCTGTTGAAACAGTGTGGCTGTTTATTGTTTTTTTTTATTATTATTATTATCAACGAAAGAAACGGCTTCGCAAAAAACTTCTTTGCTGACGCATACACGAGTTGACATATGCCGCTTTCTATACACTCCAAACGATAATCCGTGAAAGTAGCAACTGTTAATTCGATCGAAGATACTTCTTCCATTTTATCACACAATACGTTGAGGCGGACAAACGACAACTACGCTCGAAGGTTTCCACATCTAATTTCTTTCATACAAACTAACACCTGGAATGTCAGACTTTTCCTAAAGCCAGTTGGCAAAAAGGCCAGTAGATCCTATCCGGAAAGCAGTGAAGAAATTGCTTCTTTTTGTTCCGTTTTAATGCGCGAAACATACCAGATATCGAAAGACAGTTAAGTGCTTCCTCGAAAACGGAATCGAAACTAACAACTTTACCATCAACAGTCTACCACACACTTGCGAACCGCATTTTGATCGCCATCTTCAAATCATTCAGCTCGATATTCATATTTGTTCCGCGTGAGACTTAGCACGGGTACTTCGTTGTGTTTTGCAGATGTAAAAACCAAACCGATTTTTAAAGCACAGGAGATTAAAGGACATTAACATGATCCTCTATCAATGAAGCGAAAATCTTTGTATAGATCTTACTGGTTTGACTTTTGTCATCGACTAAATATTGCTCAGTTAGCTGGGCCGAAATCATGTTACGGATCAATATCCCGGTGGGGAGGTTCATATTGGGAAACACTGTGCTCGAGGGCACAGTTTTTCCCAATACGAACCGACCTAGGCCGGTGAATAACATTTTTATTTTTCCTAAGACTCAGTGAAATGCTTGCCAAAAAAATACCAGCACTGGTCTGGCAAACGAACTCAAGTTCAATGACTGTCACGACAATTTTTTCTTCAAAGAGCTTCGGTGATCTTACGGAAAGTAAAATTCAACTTCCATCGATGATTAATGTCCGAAGAATATCTCTACTCAGTCACTAAATGGCAAGGAAAGTAATTGTTAATAAATTCATATGCATGTTTTGAGGTTGTGAGAGTACCCTTGTTTGTTTCTTGCAATGGCGTGTAGATATCTGGTCTTTCCTCAAAAAAATTGAATTAATCCGTTCTCCCAGAGGTCATTATTTGGCGACCATACCGCTGTCAAGAAGCCAAAATGACCTTAGGCTCGAGATTTTGTTTTTTTAATGAGCATTATCCGAGCCTTTCAGTGACTTTTTTCGGATGGAGACTGAGCATTTTAGTGAGGAAACAAAAACATAGTGTGCAAAAACCTAGCAACAGGGTGGCCAAACATGTCCAACACGTTGCGCGCAACAATTAATGTTGCAAGATGTTGAAATGAAATGTTGAGTGCGTTTGGGGTTTATTTATGCGTGTCATGTGATATGAGCAGTAAAGAGTCACACGATGGTTGTTGACTTAATTATTCAACGGTATTCAAATATTCGAAGAGAGTGTGACTGCCATGTCTTCGGTTAATTCTCAAGAACCTTTAATCTCCGTATGTGCAGAGCACTTTGCCATTTTCATCTGTACTTTACCGCTTTTTTCAACTGCATTGTGTGTGCTGATTGCTGTGGTTTGGCATTTTGATGAAACTACAAGGACCCACTGCAAGGTAGGCTGAATTGCGTTTAATTCAATAATTTATGAATTTGAGCAAAGTTCGCTTGCTTCTTTCTTCTCTTTTATTCTAAAGCAATTTTTGACGTTTTCTTGGCAGCTTTTTTATTATTTTGTTCGTTATTGCTAGCTGTTCTCTCGATAGCCATAGTCATGAAACAAAGCTTAAAGACACTCTCGCCCGAAACAACTTAAAAAGTGTCACGCTGATATCTGCTCATAAAGCAAGATTCTGAATGAAAACGCTTGACATTAAAAAATAAAGGGAAGTCATCTATAAAAACCGTTAAGACAAGCGGTGAAAAGGTCTTCTGAAATGATGTTGAAGGCTGTTAGAGGAAAGTGTTCGATCTATTTTTATAACAAGCTAAATTACACGGGAATTTAATATTTTGTCTGGTTCTTTGTTATGATCTATGAGAGGATGGACGCTAAGATGACGCCACCATGAACACATTTTTCGCTTCTTACATGAAACAAATAGATTTCCATGTTGTGGGTCCGTTCACTGATAGATCACTGAATCGAATATGTTTTTGTTACCACATTTTAACGTCATCTGAGATCTATTTCTGAACAGAAGCACTCTAACACGGGTTCTGGAATATATTTAATGACATTCAGGCCCAGTCAAACGCACGAAACATTTCAACGCACTACCTTGCAACATTTTGAGATCGTTTTGTGAGATGTTGGGAAGGAGATGGCTTGTAAAACGTCGAATAGAGCACCGTGCCTAAAAGAGCACGATGCATAAATTATGACTGATTATGCAGTTGGAGCCATCTATTTGTCACGCAGGATACGGTCTCGTCGAATTGCTCTCGCTGTTAACGCTGTCCTTTCGTTGACATACTTCGTTTGGTGCTGAATTCTTTTCTAATCTTTAGGTTACTCTTTTTACAAAAGTCAAAACAGCCTACAAGAAGCTTACATCTGTGAGTGTTACATTGCGTAAATTGAGTCCTACGGATCTTGTGAAATGCCGAATCGAGCACCATGCCGAAAAGAGCAAGACGCATAAATTATGACTGATTATGCGATCAGAACCATGTGGTTAATCAAGAGTTGTCACGCAGGCTACGGCTTTGTAAAACTGTGTAAGCCTTTTGTTTCAGTTTTCATTAGGTGTGACTTTTGACCAAAATATAGGCTGCAGTAGGGCTATCAAAGCACCCAGTGACTGCGTTCGATAATTGAATAGAAATCCGCCTCGCTAAGTTGCAATTGGGTCATTTTTGTTCCCCTTCCACCAATTTTGAAGACATAATTCATCTCTTTAGTTGACTGTAACTTCCTACTATCATTTCTAAAATATGATCGGTTTCGGCTAAACAATATTTTCGAATTCTTTAATCATCTCAGTGACGGTAGAGCTGTAAGAATGCCAGGTTGTGAAAGTGGTAGGAATAAAAGGAAGATAAATTGAATGCGTGATACCTATCACTAAGCTACTATGACGTTATCACACAGCAATAATTGTGTGTGATTACAAACAGAAGTTAAAACCCCGTTTTGGTTAAAACGATCTGCGATTGCCGATTATCAAAAGCGCTTATGAAAATATCTACATACATTTTCAATTACGAGACAGAACCATTCGTAACTTGGTGCTTAAGTTGCAGAAATCTTCGCTACATCCCTATATAAAGATATAAATGCTTTGCACGAATAAAATAAGAGACGATCATAAGTGCTCAACCATTTCAACTTTAACCTCAAAACATGTAACGTCATGTCAAACAAGCCAAGCTTCATAATTCGCAGCTGTCAGATAAGCAGACGAACAATGTTAAATCTCTCCATTTGGGTTTTTTCTTGTACCCAATGTCACGCGACCACTTTTCCATATTTGGATTTGTACATGAGGTTAAAGTTTTGGCAGATTATTTAAACCGCCATCTTGATCTTATCTCACTAATCTTGTCTTGTTCTCTGGGCCATGGGCTAATACATTGCAAACAACACTAACATTATTCAGTGCGAGACTGGAATTCATTCTTCTCAGAGAGAGAGTTTTGAATAGGAAAGAAAATCCACAAATCTCGTTTCTGTATCGAGTCTGAACAGCGTGTGAGACTTGAGGTCAATCTTAATAGCTCCTACATCCCTATATAAAGATATATGCTTTGCACGAATAAAATAAGAGACGATCATAAGTGCTCAACCATTTCAACTCCTCAAAACATGTAACGGCATTTCAAGCTTCATAATTCCAGCTGTCAGATAAGCAGACGAACAATGTTGATATTTGGGTTTTTTCTTGTATCTCGCCCAATAGAGTGCGCGACTAGAGGCAATTTTACTTGACGTGTTTGTTTTCTATGCTCGTCAAATGGAGTACAGAACTCGAGGAAATCTTGCTGAACACGTGCGTTTTCTGTGCTGTTACTCTTTAATCTACGTAATAACTGTGTAATTTGTTATCGCTTGTCAGCTTGTGTTTCTTACGGTGGCTATTTTACCGGATCAACTCAGTTGATCCAACCAAATTTCGACAAATTACTTGTTACATACATTACCCCGCTAACACAGCGTAACAGAGTGATATGGTTTCCTCTCATCCTTAATACAACATTTTAAGCCGTTAACTAAAGGCATAATTTTATACATACGTAACTAACGGCGTAATTTGCATTCACTCTTACATATAGTGTCGCATTTTAAGCCGTTTAGTAGGACTACTAACAGCGTGATTTGCTTTCACTGTTAAAACAACTGTCAAAGTTTAAGCTGTTAACGAACGGCGTAATTTGGTTCTGTGTTTAGTAAGTCCATTGTAGACCACGATAATCACTTATTACACCGTCGTGTAATTACCGTGCGGAATCAGTTTGTTGATTATATCGTAAGCTGAATCATGGACGCCTTTCAAGAAGTTCTAGATAATATTTTTTCCCCCTAAAGACGCTACGTCAAACCAATAGCCAACGAAATATCTCATTTATAAGGCATTCACTACTCCATAATCTTCAACAACTCCATTTTTTTTGTAGCAAGAAGGACCAAGGCAAAACGAGGGCCGGTTGTTCTTAATTAAAAGCGATGAATTGCCTTTACAGTACATAATTCTCTGATATGAAGTCTAAATTTAATTTCGTGCCAAATTGACTCACTGCCAAATTACGTCAATAAATAAAATGTTAACTTATGTATCATAATGAAAGAAAGCACTTTGTAGAATGGTGCTGTTTGTATGTGATCCAACCACTTAACGTGAGACAAAAATGTCGATCATTTGAATTTTCACATCCAGGCTTGTCTGAGTTTTACTTTCCAGATTTAGCACAATCCTTTAACATCAGAGATGCAGTTTGAAGCCATTCAAACTCTTTTAACCACTACATCCAAAATGTTATTTTGTTTGTTCAACGTTTTGGATTCCCTTTTTACAGTTCATTTCCGTAATATTTATTAGTTGTAGGCACTTGCAATTTTCAATTGATCAAATGAGCACAATGCAACAAAATGACAGGAGCTCAGTCAAGTTTTCTGGTTGTGTGATAGTCTTTACCAGTCTCCTCTGGCTGGCATCTTACTTCATTTTGTTCTTGTGTTTTATGTCACCCAAACAGCAACAAGATGAGACTTGTTGCCCCAGATCTCGTGTAAACAACCGGCCCTGTATGATGAAATTTCTTGTAATTTAAATAAAGTATTGTGCTCTGAACTGTCTCAAATTTGAATGGCTACTTCTTTTTATTTCCTTATAGGTACCAAACTTTTTACCTTCAATAAGTGCTGCTATTGGAGGGAACATGCCTGAGAGGTTTATATGGAGAGTTGGAATAGCTTTGCACTGTCTACCACGAATTCTTATCATGCCTTATTCACTTCATAAACATTACAAAAATACTCAGTTGGGCAGGAAATACAGCTCTACAACTTGGTGGTTTAGTTTGCTCAATTTCGTAAATGGTGCTTTGCATCTAGTGGAAAATGGAGCTCTCTTAACTTTAACCTACATTTCTTCAACTGATAATTTTGGTGAGTAATTGAATTGATAAAGTGTTTTACTTTTATCACATTTTTTCTTTATGACATTTCATGTGTTTGTATTGTTCTCATCATGGTATGGGTGCAATTCTTTTAAAATTCTTGAATTAAAATTTTTTTTAAGTATCGTATTGTGAATTACTGAGATTGTTAGGAAGACTTGCGCTGTCACAACAGATTAAAGTTATGGTTGCACCTTAGGCCTCAATCTCCCTTTGATTTTTTGTTCACTTTTAAAAGTCTTCTGGACACTTGATGTTCATTTAAGTTTTATTTACCATTAGTTCTGGGTTATGACTCAAATAATAATAATTAAGAGTTCTTTTTCAGAAATCAGAATCATAGAGTTAAGAAAAAAAGTCTGAAAATTGTAGTTGGGCACTTTTAGAATAATTATTCAAATTTAACATGGTGTCAAGTATTGCCGTTTCTGATTCTACAACTATATGCTGGCTCTTAATTCAATTATATTTGTGTCACAATTTTCACCTCACTTACTTTCTATTTCTCCAGATGTCCATGAAGGGTCATTTATTGTTTTTATGGCATCTGCAATATTATTTATGCTTTTGACTTGTATTTTATTCCGGTTGACTGCGACACAACCAATGACTGATGAGGTACATAGTTACATTCATTCAAACAATAAATTGTTGTTCACAATGATGCAATGGTTACCATTTCATTTTATTTTTTAATACTCAATCGTTCTTAAATTCTCTATGACATGCTAAAGTACAGTCATGAGTTAGTCAGTATACTGAAACAAGGTTGCTTAGTGATAGTAACAAATTTCAAATAGGAAACTTAAACACACCTGTTTTTGAGACATGGGTGGAAACGAGACGCAGAATAAAACGGCTAATGTCTCACTCACATTAATATCGCCTGTCTGTTAGGAAGCCCTTGTTTTAGCATCTTACACTAAATGCCAGAGACAAAAGATCTGTGAACTAAGCTCTTAACATGCATAACAGAAAATTGGTAACGATGAAAGTAAGAATTGCGAAAAAGCATGCGGCGACACTCCCTCTGCATTCACGCATGTACCCTCTTACCTGCACATGAAGGCCTAAATCACTTATGCCCACTTAAGTTAATCACCTGCTCTCCAGGCCACAGTAAGCATTGCAGAGAATTCTTGACTTCTGCTTGCCATCCACGTAACAAAGTTAGTGAGAAAGAGAAGGGTCAGTTCCTCCTTTCACAGCTGCAAATATGTACATGTATGTGAAGGTTCTTTATAAGTGCCTGCTTATACGTGAGAAAAATCAGCGAGGGACAAAATGGTTGGTTAAAGATTTAACTTATATTGAAAGTATGATGGAAAAATAGTGTAGTACATTTAAATCTATGATGTAAATAATTGCAAATTATCTTTCTGTCACAGGAATACAAATTATTTAAAAGAAAAGTGGGTACTATGTCCTTCAACTGTTGTTCTTTTGGTTTGGCTGTGTATTTTTATCTGAGGCACAACTGGTATTGTGAACCCTACAGTATCCTTTACAAAACGGTTTCAATGAAATGCAGTAGTTTATAGTTGCGGATACTCAGACAGTAAAAAGCAGTATTGGTAGAAAACTTTGTAAACAATACAACCCGAGATTAATTGTTAAATTGTTTATGGAGAAGGTTGAAAGCAACCTCGATGGTGGATAGAGTGTATGGGACTTATTAAGGACACACAGTTTTTGAGTTCAAGGCTTAAGGTAGATAAGTTTGCCTCCTGTTCGACGTTTGATCTTTTCACGCTTCACTTGGGCAATTGGGTTTACAAAATATACTTTGCCTCTCTGCTTTTATTCTGTAAATCGTGTAGAAAATTACATTTTATTTATTTTGGCGTTTTCAGTCTTTGTAAGAGGGAAAGAATCGAGGTTACCTGTGAAGCTGGTACTTGTCTGAGCTTATAGAGTGCTTTTCGATGGGTTTAGGCCTTGAGCGACGCATCAAATGAGTGCTAAACATGCTGGACTTTAGATCAGGAGGAAAGGGCTGAGCTCTGGCCTGAGCATGGTGCAGTGTTCTTGGGCGAGACACCTAACTTTCACGCCGCCGCTCTCCACCTCTCCACTTAAGAGTGTGAAACTGATACTAGCAAACTTGGGCATCAACATTTACAAGCCCACTAGGCCTCTAAGACTAACCCCTCCCTCTTTTCTTAAATGGCTGTATAGTTACTATTATTTAAAAGGAATGCAAATAAGTCACCTTATTTGTTCATGGAAATTTCGTAACTTTTATGAAACCAACCAGAATATCACAGATATCCGACAAGAGCATAAAATAAAGGCTGACTAATTTAGCAATAAATAATTATAACATAAAACCACTTTGTTGAGAAACATCAACCTTTTCCTTAACATGTGTTTCTCACTGCAGTGTATACTCTGTTTGCACTGTCTGAATACTTGACAGTTGTATCTAACATAGCTTTTCATTGGCTTTGCACCTGGATATTCAGTGGATGCAGTATTTCAATCTTGCACAATGACAACCTTCAGGCAAAGATGAGATAAAGGTTTTTGGAATTTACTCTGAACTACGCCCGCTAGCGTTCTGATCATCTTCAGCTGATTTACTGACTAACAGGAACTTTTAAGTTAAAATTGGAGCTGCAGTTTCTTTCCCAAAGCGATAACGTAATTAAAAATATGGATTGAGATAAATTTATACCGAAGAACATTGGCCCTCCTGGTTAACTCGAAAGCCTTTTTCTTTGCCGTTTTATTAAAGATTTATAAACACAATTTTGCCTATTTTAGACTGTGGTTGCAGCCTATGAGGATTCTGCTGGGAGAGGAACTCAAATTTCATCCATTTTGAAATCGCAAAATTTATTTGTACAAAATCAAGATGTTTAAGCCTGTGCAAACAATTTTTTATCCATTATAGCGCTGGTTTGTAAAGAGTTGCAAAAATTGTATATCATTTTCCTTCCATTTGATTAAATACTTTAAACAAGCCTTGAAATCTGTTGGTTGTTGTCTTTTAGGAACGCTATCTTATTAGCTGGGAAAAAGATGCAATTTGGAGCGATTAGTTAAAAAAATCTCACCAATGAAAGCAAATCAGACCTCGAGGTAGGGGTCTTTATGGTGAGGTTGCTTTGATCGAAATGTCAAAATTAAAGGTCTTTAAAATCAAAGGCCCACAGATGAAAGTTGAGGCTGAATACAGAAAGTTGAAACTGAGTGTAGAAAGCTGAAAATGAGTGCAGAAGGTTGAAATAAACCATTCAAACACTTGAAGATCGTTGTACAACGATGGCAACGTCGCCTGAGATACAGTGGCTTTCAACAAAGGGGAAGCAAGAGCTTCGGACGCAGAGGATTGCGGATGGCGATCAAAAATTATCTTGGCAGCTTTGTTTTAAAGAATCTGAAGATTTCCCATGAGAGTGGAGTTGTTCTTATTATCTCCCCAAATAATGTCACCATGATCAAACAAAGGAAGTACGAGACTATTGTAAACAGTCAGACGGGATTGGAGTGGTAGCATCTGCTTCACTCTTATCAGGAGATCAAAGCGTTGACTGACTTTGACAATCGAAGAAATGTGATCTTACCAAGTCATATTTTGACCGATTGTAACTCCTTAATGCTTAAATGAGTCAGTTCGCCCTAAGTTATGGTCATTGATGCAACGAGAAAATTCTGGAAAGACTTAAGTTTCTACGTACTACCGAAAGGACAAATTTGCATGTGTTTTCATTAAGGTTGAGGAGATTGTCAAAAAACCACTCGCAAATTGATTGTAGATCAATAATTAACCGGGACTCAAGGGTAGCAGCATCCTTCGCTGAAGCATAAATAACGGTATCGTCAACGTTTAACGTTAAATCACATTCACGTAAGCATGATGGTAAATCATTAACGTAAATAAGAAACAACAGAGGTCCGAGGATGCTCCCTTGGGGGACACCAACTGGTACAGGCTTACTAGAAGAATGAGCATCAAATCCTGATTTGATGGTTTTAGTTGATGCCTATATAAAATTCCCAGAGGTTGTTAAAATGACCAACACTACGGCCAAAGCAACCGTAAATACGTTACGTGATATCTTCAGCAGACATGGTCTTCTTGTTTCTGACAATGCCCCACAGTCTGCTTCTAAAGAATATGAAACCTTTTTTTCTAAAAATGGCATATTGCATTGTACCTCGGCAGCCTATAAACCCTCCCCTAACGGACAGGCTGAGCGTGTTGTCCAAATTTTAAAATCAGCTATCAAACAAGCTCAGCTTACAAACAACGATATATCTGCTGTAACCGCCCAGTATTTATTGGTTTATGGAAACACCCCACACTCTACTACGGACGAACCTCCTGCTTTGCCAGTTATGGGACGACGGCCAAGTACTTGTCTAGATTTACTGATCCCTTCAATTGAAAAACATGTTGAAGCTCGCCGGTACACTTCCAAGGTGAATCGCACCACAAAGAGAGGCCTGCGTCAGTTCAGTGCAGGTAATCCGGTTTTAGCACGTAATTATGGTAAGGGAGAGAAGTGGGTGCCTGGAGTTGTGACTGAAGTCGTTTGTTTACGACATTGTATGGTTTAGGTGTAGGGTAACCTTTGGGAACTGCACATGGACCAACTGCTTTGCCCACCTGCGAGTGATATTTCACCAGTCAAACCTCCAGTAATTCAGCGCCAATTTGTGCCAAATCGGATTACGCCCAATGTGTACCAGCCAAGCGAGATTGTTCCTGATTTAGAAATTCAATGTACTCCAGTCCCTGCTGCAGCGGCTTCGGATGAGTTCCATCTGGTTGAGTCTGATGAACATTGCTCCCCTGAAGTTGACATGCGCATGTGCAACTAAGGGCAGAAATAGACGAAGTTGTGTTTCGCTGTTCATGCATTTGTCATTATTACTCGGATACAACACATTCTTTCGTAAAACAGACTGTCTTTTATGCCCGCTTCTCTGGCCACATCTTTCCAAGAAAGACTCTTCTTTGATTTGTGTTTGAATTATCGAAAAATTTTGTCAAAAAATACGGGAAATTTCCTCACGCCCAAGGCAAGTTTTTCTTCCGAAAAGGCGGAAGACGTCGAAGCCATCTTGTTTTTAACTGTACCATGTTAGCATGGAACCGGTGGAACCTGTGTTTTCGCCCAGGTTTTGCATTTGCGTTTGCGTTGCCCGGTCCATACGTGTGGTAAGCGAATGCAAACGCAAGTGCAAGTTCAAGAAAATGAAAATCCTCGCATTTGCATTTGCGTTTGCGTTTGCATTTGCTTCGCGCCTGTTAATCAGCCTCAAATTGCTGAATAGACGCTATAAAGTAACACTCGCTTCACGAAAAGTCACTCACTTATCTACTAACGACATGACCACAATATGGCTACTGGCCTACCAGTAACCGTAAAAAAGAAATGAACACTGTTTAATTACTTACTGATCAAAGTTTAATTGATGAAAATTTATTGAAGACAAGCACGATAGCTGTCGACGTGTGATGGTTTGTCCCAGTCGCTGAAGCTACGGCAGCAACTTCTTGGATACCAAAATTACGCAAGACCATGCACCTAAAAAGTATATAAAGCCCCTATGTTGTTGTACACCTTTCTCAGTTGGCATTTTATCACAAATTGTAAGCTACATGAGAAAATCTCCTTCAAGCTGTCAGAATTACTTCTACAGTAAAACATAGATCATCAAAAGGCGGGGCTGATCTACTTAGAACTATTACAGGTGATAAGAACGCAGTACTAAGGGGGACAATAATGATACCAATTTTATTTAAATGATTTCGATGCACAAAGTTCCATTAGTTTCGCAGTAGATGATGACATGTCTACGGCAGCTGTTCACGTCCATGAAACGCTCCTTTATGAGGGGTTAAGTACGGGGCTGTGAAATATATAACGCCAGCATAGATTTCAACATTTGATCTCAATAGCTGTGGTCACACTACAGACTTTCAAAAAGTGGGGAAAACACTCGACTACGTCTCGTGTTTCTCTCTTCTCTTCTTTCGTGCTCTAGCCGCTTCCGGCGTGCTTTACACCAGAACTTAGCACAGTCAAGGCTTCTCTATTTGTTAAATTCTTAGCCTTGACCCTTTCGGCCCAATACTGATCTTTCTTTTATTTCTTCCTGGAATTAGGTTGGATATCTTCTTGGTGTATTTTTGTCATTTTTGGAAAAACTAAATATTTTCAATCGTTTCACTAAATTTCAGGGTTAACTTGTTTGAGCTTAGCTGTTCATAGTGACTAAATTGGTGGTTATTTAGATTTATTCGAAAAATCAAGCATCTAAATCTCAGCCCGTTTTTGTAAAGAAGTGTCATCTGCAAAAATTCTTACAGGAAAGTAATTTGTACCTTTGACAATATCGTTTATACTAAGTGAAAAGAGGAATGGCCCTAAAATTGACCCCGAGGCACTCCTGATTTAAATAAGTCAAAACTTAGTATTGAACAAAATTGAGACAATAAGAATGATAGAGCCATTTTCTGCATATTTTACAATAATGAAGATGAGTAAATAAGTTATGAGAGAAATTATCATCCAAAGATTGATTAAATCAAGAGAAAGAATATTGGCCGGAGGATATTATGGTAATAAGAGAAAACTTTTGACAGACTGATTGCATATTCTCTTTATCATCTATGGATGAAGAAATCAGGGAAGAAAATCTACAAAAGACGACGCAAATTCATGAATGAATACTAAAAGCACCTTGCTAACAACATCTATACAATTGCAGATATGGGAGACGCAGAGAAAGAATTTGCTATGGTTAGGCACAAAGTCACAAAGTTCGAATTTTTACCGCTTTCCTGCAAATGCCATGGGAAGGAAAAGGCCAATTCATTTGTCGTTGTTGTTGCAACAGAAATCCAAGAGAGGGATACGACGGTTTCGAATGACTTATCGAATAATAAAGTTTTCAATGCATCTCTGTCTGAAAATCTCATTTAAATGAGATAAAATGTTGATGCATCGAGGTTTTTTGCTATTTCAATTTGAGCCGTTAAAAAAATGCATTAGTCTAAAACCCTTTTACGGTTGGTCTCATATGTATATTTCACTACATACATGTAATTATACATGATTTAAATATTCCATTCAGTGTAGGTGACAAATTTCTTTCATTGCTCGTACTGTTATTCTAACCCCCTCCCCCCAATGAGCAAACTTCGTCAGTGATACCCGCATGTATTGCATGCCAGACCATGAAATCAAACGAGAGAATGAGCACGATCGATAATCAGGCGATTTTCCTCAGGAAATGAGATGGCGGATGTAGTTTCATTTATCCACATTTCCAGACGTTTCAAATGATTTTCTCGGATTACACCTACGGTTATACACGACGAAATAGCCTCATCGGCTATAGCGGATAATTACTGAAGTAATTATCAGAACGGTAGACAGAGTACGGAACACGGAAAAGTGGGCAGAAAATTCCCTTGGCACTTAGGTCTTTCACGTTCCACGGACAGAACTTCCATCCCTAAGTTTCTCAAATCGGTCAGTAATGACAGACCATGCCGGAGCGGCAACATCATAGATTGCCGAGTAAGTGAAATAGTATACGGGAAAAGAGTATTAGGCTTGAGATATGCATCAATGACGTAGACATACTTGACTGAATGTATTAGAATCAAACGTCAACGATGGAATCATAAGTTTTGTAAGAGAACCCTGAAGGCTTTCAAAACCGTCAACAAAAGAAAAATCCTACTCTGTGTTTAACAAAGCGTTTGCAGTAGACTAGCTAACATTTGCATTAGGGAACTAATTTACAGAACACCATTCGTCATGATTGGCAAGCAAGAACGACCCCGGTATCAAAGCTATCGTAGACCTTACCAGAATTTCCAGTTTAACGAATGGGACGTGTGGCCTCATAGCGCCCAGCAAGTATCTGGTTGGCACGGGCTGTGGGGAAGCACCTTGTGATAATCGTCGCACTTAGTTTTAAAATTGACGCACTTTTTAATAAACTTGGTATAGAATGTCGAAGGACGAACAGACCAAATTATAACCATCATCCTAGTCAATGACGGAAGTGATATTAATAATAATAATAATAATCATAGTAACAATAATAGTGATTACAATAATAATAAAGATGATGATTGAGACAGTGATTAACAAGGATATCATTACAAAGTGCGGCAAATATGACAGTGTGACGATTATTACAAAGCGCGACAGAACGGTTTCGAACCCCGTCGAGGCCTGGATTTTGAGCTTTTGGCGACCGCGCTAAGTGGCGCTTGCTGACCATTTTATTGACTATCAGTGGGGGAAGACGGACCATAAATACTCAGGAAGGGGTGGGATGCAGTTTATCGGTACACAGGGAGGGGTGGGAGACAGACTATTAGTAGGTAGGGAGGTGGTTGTAGGGGCACATTCTACTGATTAATGGAGTTTTCATAATATTCAAGCAGTTTATTGGACTGACTGTCTTTTTGAAGTCAAAATTTTTACGTTAGGCTGTTACGTTTTTTTCTAGTTTTTGTCATGCGAATACGAAACTAGCACTTAATGGGCTATAATTGTTATTGAATGTATCGCCAAATCCCTTTTTTTGATCCTCCTCTGTTGAGTCACGAGTGTGCCTTAAAACAAAAAGTCGACTTGTTCCAGTCGGCTAAATGATACTCCCTAGTTATCACAACTAATCCACCAGTCGCTTCACATTTCCTTTTTTGTATAAAGTATATCATTGCGAAACTCGTCAATCTTCCTTTGCATCTTCTACAGACGCACACACTAACAGAACCACAAACGCACGATCAGATGGTCAAAACAATATTTCCTTGCCTTGATGAGCTACAAAATTGGTTTCGAGGAATGGGGCTTAACTGCGAGTTACGCCACAAGGTTTTAAAATGGTCTCGATGACAGAATCGTTTTAATTAATTTTGAAACCAACCTCTTAGCCTTAGGTTGAAAAAAAATCACAGAGATAATGTCGTTATAAAATTTTATAATTGATACTAGGAGTGCGACCCTGAAAAAAATTCCAAAAAAAAAAAATGTCAGGGTGCTGATGTAATTGTTCGATCAGTGTTTCACAACCGTAATCTAACAAAGGCTATGCTCTCATAGTAGCGAGTAACTCCTTTTTCAAACACCATGCCAATGAAGGTGTTGTTTGCTTGCGTTCCAGGGATGGTAGTCAGGCAGGAGTACCCACTTGGACCCTTCCACACTCCGAGGGACCCCACCCATGATTCGCCATTGTCCTCACTCCAGCGGACGGTCATATTAATTCGGAAAAGCTTACTGGCCGGATTCGAAAAGTAAACCGTGTTCCTGTAACGAAGTAAGCTGGCAGCAACTACCGGGTCTAACAACGCTTCATCGAAGTAGATGTCAGAATGCGCAAATGATTCCCCGCCATCGTAACTCTTGGACATGATGCGACAATGGCAATGGAAATTATCTTGGTTTCGTGAAGTCATCAGTAGGTTGCCGTCGTAAAGCTCTATAAGCTGTCGAGAAGGGAGAATGCATAATCATTGTCAATCACCTCAAAAACGCGCCTAGGAGCCAAAGGTAAGCGGAGATTGCTGTCATACCTGAGATTCATCCGGCTCAAATGAACCTTGCTGAAGAATATACCCGGCAACCCTCCAGCTTGTTCCATGATCTGAAATAGAGATGAGTAATAAGAATAAACAGCAAAATCGACCGCGTATCGTGGCGAACACAACGAGAATTTGAAGAAAAGGGAGGAGAATGCCGCTAAATTGACATTTGAAACTAAGATGATTCAACCAGTTTGTCTGTTATTAATTCAATCCACTATTATGACTATTATCTCAGTCTGTGATTTAGTCATTCCTTCATTCCAAAAATATTTTAGTTTAAGTCAATGTGGTCAGTTACTTGAGTTTTCTTAATATAACGATAAATTGACTGGATCTAAATATAAAAAATCAGATCAATTTGTTTTAATTTCCATTGCATCTCGATGAAACTACAAGCCATCTGCCGCAACCACGTGCCATATCAGAAAGACCAAATAATAACCAATTACCAAGTCGGTATTGATTTGGTTTTGCATCTGACTGGATAAGAGAGTGACACGAGTTTTCTTCACCAATCAAAGAACATACAATTTATGCATGCAATTGAACATGCAATTTTAACTACCGTGCTTACCGTCGCTAACAATGCAGAAGACACCATCATGACCAGGATGAGAATGACCACACGTGATAAGCCGTCCCTTGTGAGGATCTTTCTTTTTCTAAATGAGAGCTCAAGTGTTAGACAATAATATGATGTGGCAAGGGTAATTTAGTAATATAAACTGACTCGACAAGGTAATACCTGAATACCAAAACCCGGTCCTGGTAGAAACACAGACGATCCAATCTGATCCGACAGGTTTGATGGGTTTGTCCAAGTCAGCCCAAAATCATCACTGCTGATCAGAAACGTGGTGTGATAAACACATTTGGTCGCACAATGGGAATATATGACAAAAACTCGATTTTTCTCTTCGTCTACAAAAACGGTGCCGAGATTGAGGCCATCAGGGTCTTCACCATCATCCTCAATGAACGTTGTGTTACTCCATGTCAATCCTTGATCAGTTGAACGGCGCATTGCCAGGAATTTTGGTCCCACGTCTGCAGAGTTGTACTTCCTTCCCTCAGATAACGCGATGAGGGATCCATCAGGCAGAGATTTCAGAATGGGAATACGATACGTGTTCACCCCAAGATCGCCTGAAATCAGAACGAAAAAGGGTTCATGCATGCACGATAAAGTCTTTGAGATTTGTCAGTAGTGAATTCCATTGTAGAAAAATAGAGATTATTCCATGGAAAGTGCGCACGAACGATTTCCATAAAAGTGTCAATGCATCAAAATAACGAACGAGTGAGTTTTTCGATCTATCGACGAGTGAATAAATTCAAGCACTTTTACATGGTATGATGTTTTTACTTCAAACATACTGATATTTTTCTCAAACTGACAGGCAAAGATGGAAAGTAAACGACTCTTTCAATCAGAGACACGAACGATAGTACTTCACAGTATAGGTCTCAGTATGTATGAAATAAATAACCACTTGGATTAGAGAGAATAATATCCACAACAAACCTCAACGATTGAGGTTATTCAGGGCAAAACAAATAGATATAAATAATTTGTGTTTACGTAATTGATACAGAATATAAGCCTGGTTATAATGTCGTTCCCTTCGATGCTTGATACAGCGTCTGAGCGTGCGCAGCAGGCGCTCGAGAGGAAGCGTGATTGCGATACGAGGTGTTGTACGCGAGTGAGGAGTCACGCTAAGAAAAATTCTATCCTTCTTTCTACTATATTTTTCTTCTGTCACGCGAGAAAAATTGAAACATTCAAGGAATGCGTAAAAGTAAACAAAAGCTGGAAGAAGGAAAACTTGATACTTTTTTTAACTCAAAGCTTATTCAAGTACAGTTATCCTATTGACTTACTGACTTGTTGTGAGCCTGACCAGAAAGGGTATACGCTTTTCAATCACTGTGACTTTCCAGCTTGTGTTATTGTTTTTCGCTCGTATGAGACAATTTGGTTCCATCAGTCTGAAAACACCAACCTGTCTCCGCTTGTTCGTAGTGTGGATATCCCTATCCTCTGCACAAATCTCTATAGCGCCTACGTTTGTTAGCATACATCCGCCGGATAGCGATTCGTCAGTTAGATAGCGTTATCCTTCCTTTATATGGTCGTTGCAACGTTTGCACATGCACAGATGTGTTCGCGAACCCAGCCCTCGCAAAGCTCTCCTATGCTCGCATCGCTCCCTGCTATTAGGCTAAGTAAATATTTGCTGGGCTGCTTTGGCCCAAACGAGATGATCGGTGGGAGTGATCGCATGACTGTCATGTCATGACTCTTACCAGCCCTGTTAAGTCTCATCGTGTCACGCAACATGTTTGTGCTCTTCAGGAAATTTACCTTTAAGAGACTCCACGGAAAGGTACAGAGAGTTCAAAATATGATCGAATCAAAAGTACTAAAGGGCTGAGAAAATATACATTCAAAAAACCTGAATTCAGGAACATTGAATCTTTGTGAGGCCAACTGATAGATCATGAGCAGTTTTGGTTTCGAGCAAAACTCAGTGCGAAATATGGAAAAGAAAAATAGAAATGAGAAAGATAGGTAGCTTTGGGTTGACAGGGTTAAATTTTAAAACTGATGACAAATTTCGAAAATGGAAAAGGGAAATAACTTGGGGTAACTGTTTGAGACGGACGACCTGTCAGGAAGGTTAACAAGTGCAGTCAGGCAAGGATTGTCAACGGAGATTTGAATCAAATCAAGTTATTTACCTTGCTTCCACAGAGTCACCTGAAAGTCGATTGAAGGCTCAGAACTGCCGCGTGGAATCCCCTCTAGTAGGAAACCGAAAGAGTAGAACAAGAGTGATGGAAAAATATAACCTGCCATACTGACTTCCGGTAAAAGTAAGCCTCGTTTTCAGTTGTTACAAAAATATTGCATGGGAGAAGGTGAAAAAATTCGTTTGTGGCCTCTTGATTCGTTCGGTAACACTTATCTAAAATTGGAAACTAACCACTCCACCTAGAAAAAAGAAAGAAAAAAACAGGTAATACACATTAAATCCCTTTTTGATTTTTTCCGTAAGTTAAACAAATCGGCCAAGACAAATACCCGACGGTACCCCACTCGGGAAAAATTTTAGCTCCTGACCCAATCACTGCTGACCAAGCTCTGTTAGTGCTATTTATAGAAAACACATAAAATTTTTAGGTAGATTTACCGTGTATGTAGTTTGTGATATCAAATACAAGTCTTCGTGATGATGTGTAGTCCATATTTGTGATCGATCGTGTAGTTTAGATTGCGTTAAACCCACAAATGGAAGAGATGGGAGCGAAGTTTTCTTTGGAACAACAGTGGACATGTAAGCAGTGTACCTTGATAAACCCAGGCAGAAATTCCACCTGCTCCGCTTGTGGCCATCGTAAACAATCCACCGCGACATGGACTTGTCGAGTTTGTGACTCTCGTAATCCACAAACTTTAGTTCTTTGTAATAGCTGTGGATCGGATAAGGGGGTTGCTCGAAATGCTGATAGCAATGGTAAACAATGGACATGCCCTCGATGCACTTTAACGAATCCGTGGAATAGATCTGTCTGTTCTGCTTGCCAGTTCGAACCTTCTATCGTTGTTTCCAATTCTGTGAAAGCTTCAGAAAGTGAAGGGACCTCTTCAAGTCAAAGAATTTATCCCAATCTGTCGCTTGAATTACATCCAACTATTGCTCAGCAAAGTTCAGAAGGTTTGAAATGTCCTAATTGCCAAAGTTTGTTATATGACAATGTCGGAGTTCACTGTACAGTTTGCCATTCACCTTGCCCGGAAGAGGGTTTTAAACCACGACCATTCCCTAAATCTTCCATTCCTTCAGTTTCTAAAGGCCCTCTTACAGACAACTGGGGTTGTTCCCAGTGTACGTTTGTCAACGAAGGTTCTAATTCAGTTTGTGCAGTTTGCGGAAGTGATCGTGGAGTTGAGGCTAAACCCAGCACTTTGAGAGAAGATACTGACTCAACAGGTACTAAGGGCGAAATGACTATTTTGTTCCCATAGCTTCTTGAAAGGAAGATTTAATACCATTCTATTAATGTCCTCAGACCCTTGCCTGGAAGGAATGAAATATGCCTGTCAATCAATCCATCAATCAATCAATCAAATACTCACCTAGGACTTTTCAGCACTAGCAAAAAAGGTTTTTTGTTAAGGCAAATTTTTCTGTCATTACTAACATTTTACAAGTGCAAATGGTTTGTTGTGGCTTAACAAATTTTGGCCGAAGTGGACAAATCTTCAGTGTCCAAAAGCCTTCAATTTTGAATCTTACATATCAATTTTGAAACTTTCAGGAAAACAGTTTCAATGCCAGTAAGGAGAACAAAACCACATGTTTAACTAACAATGGGATCTTTTAACTTGCTATCTGACAGAGACATCAATTCTTATTTTAAAAAAATGTTACTATCAATGTTGATCTAGTATCAGCACACCCTGAATTTACAACAGAAACAAGGTATAAAAAAAATTTAAGCATGATCAGAAAGGGAGAACCCACAAATCAAGAATATGCTATTGGTCTTACCAGTCACTTTAAAGAATGAACTGCTCCAGAAGTAACTGGCATACAGACTCAAAGGAATTAGATTTAATCATTAAACCTTAACAACAGTTACATGTGACTTTTCTTGTTTGATGTAGTCAGCTAAGTAACTTTTTGGGGTTGTTATTATCACAACAACTCTTAATCAGTTATTGTTTTGTTCCAAAACATTGTCTTTGATTTATTTGATAATTTTTTTTTTCATTTTTGTAAGTGATGGTAACAAATGTTAAATTCATTTGTATAAATTCCCTTTGAAGGTCCTGGTGTGGTAGATTCTGGTTGGCCATGCACAGCATGCACTCTGGTTAACCCAATTAACACTGCGGTGTGCAGTGCTTGTGGTGCCAAAAATGATCTTGCTGTACATGATGGAGAGATCCAACAGGCATCACCCACGGCTAGTCCAAGGAAAGCAATGCAGCGTCAACAGAGTATTAATTCTGAGTCCAGGAGAATTCGGGATGAGAAACAAGCTAAAGAACAATGGATCAATATTGTGCAGTATTGTAAACATGTATGTGTAACTGTAATTGACAATAGGGGACTGTCTACATAGGAAGGGGGTCTCAAAGAACACATATGAACCACTCTTTACCAAAAACTTAACAGATAAACATATGAAAGTCACAATACAACAAACTAGCTCGCCTTCAAATATTAGTAGGACTCTGGTGCAGAATCTTCTTACTGTTAACCTCTGCCTTGCTTTAGCTAATGAACACATTAAAGTGTGTAAAGCTTACTAGTATTAATGACATATAGCACTAGGGAAAATTAGATCTCTTAGTCTCAATAACAGTATTGCTTGGATGCAGGTGGATGCTGTACATTCGAACAGAAACAGTTTTCTCTTTCTTTCCTATTTAACTAAGAAGTTACTGTGTGTCCAAAATTTAATTGTTATTATTATTTGTTCATATTAACTTTTCAGACCAAAATTGAATTTGTTGATGACTCCTTCCCACCCACTGATAAGTCTCTATACTTTGAGCCACGCCATTCTGAACACCCTCGTGTGACAGATTGGCGACGACCTGAAAACATCAAGGCATTTAGAGGAGGGCATGGTACAACATCAATTCCTTTGGCTGTATTCCGTAATCCTAGGCCTGATGACATCATGCAAGGAGTTCTGGGTGACTGCTGGTAAGTTTAATATTTGCATGTAACCCTTTCATCCAATAAAAGATAACTTTATGAGTTCCCCTACCTAATTGGTAAATAGAGAATTCAGAGTTAAAACACATAAAAAGTGGGAGTTTTTCTTAAGATTTTTGCTCTATATTTTGGCTGATCATAACCAAACTACACTTACATACATTCAATTTGAGAATTTTTTGGTATTTCTTTTCTGGGTGGGGGAAGGGTACTTTTTGGAATTGATTGAAAATACGTAGAAGCTTATTTGTTTTGTAAGGTGAAATTAAAAGAAAAAGAAATAGTAGCAACCAATTAAAAACATCATGAACTTTTGAAATTGATAATAAATATAATCTCTGAGTAGTTCTCCAGGCTTCTGATTAAAATTTGATAACAAAGCTGATTACAATAATTTTTAAAAAACTTCCCTACCCTCTAGGATTTAGACCATTAGAAATAATTGTTTCAATGGGAATTAATTGTAGAGAAGTTTAAGCAAGAAAGGAAGATTTCTGGGGTTTTTGTAAGCTTAGAATTGGTGTGAGGATTATATTTGTGGTTCATTATGTGGGATGCTTGTGGCAGACCACATTAAAAATTTGCTTAAATGTCATTGTATCGATTCATATGGAAATTGGTTACATACTTGTTAGGCCTTGTGGATGGGTGACCGCACTTAATGTATTGTGTTGTTGACCCTTTTTTAATGTCTTTATTTATCAATTTCATCATGTACTTTTAGGTGTCAGCATTAAATTTATTATTTTCCATGTAAAACCAGTCAGAGTGATTATAGATACAATGTATCAATCAACACATCCCACTTTAATGCCTGGGAATCTCTGGGACAATTCAGCAATTTTAAGATCTGGATCTTCAAGACAGCTAGGATAGGAGTATGTAGAATAAGAGGAGACTTACTACTGTAAATGGCCGGAAGTTGTTGAGAGAGAACTTGAAGGAATACATGGAAAGTGCACTGACAGTGAAGTAACAAGATCAAAATGGAAATATAATTTTCATTCCTCTCCAATAATTTGATATGTGACATTTATTATATGGCTGGCATCACTTGTGGGCAAGATGAATTGCATCGTGTGTTCTAGTTGGCAACTCAACTGGGCAAGTTTTTTTCAGCCATCCTGACCTCACGCTTGGTTAATAGCGCATATGTATTTATTATGCCACATTGTTTGAAATAATTTTATCACTATTCCATTGAAGCTTTTTTGACAATTTTATCATTTGCCAATGTTTGCAGGTTTTTAAGTGCAATGGCTGTTTTAGGTGAAAGACCAGAACTTTTGGAAAAGATTTTGATAACAAGAGAGGTACACAGACAAAACAGTTTTACACAAGTAGAATCTTTGCTTCCATTACCAGCATGCCATTACCAGCACGCCATGACACAATATACATGCTATACAACCAAATTCCTCATTTAGACCTTGTTTATTGATGATAGCTGTATTTACAATTTTCCATCATTGGCAAGAGGAAAAACTTTGGAACAGATTTAGAAGCAGCCTGGAAAGAATGAAAGCAACAATCTAACTGGGTAAACTTTTAAACCCACGTGAACTGAAAAACAAATGCAGCTGGATTTGACATTTTACTTACTTCCCTCTGTTAAGCACAACCTTGTTCATGTGTCATATCATTTTTGTCTAGATCAATAAAGAGGGAGCTTACCAAGTTCGGCTTTGCAAAGATGGAAAATGGACAATAATCTTGGTTGATGACTTACTACCTTGTGATCACCATGGACAACCAGTTTATTCACAGGTATAATCCAAAGCAAGCAGTGCAAAGTCCTTACTGACTTGTATTGTTTGTATTGTGGAGTTCAGCTCAAGAAGTCTGGGTTGTAGCCTTACTCAGGGTTGTGTTATATTGTTAGGCAAGGTACTTAATGCCCTGCAGCACCTGCTTGGGCACCAGTGATTTGCATATGGGCTGTAGATAAATTGAATGGTGGTAACCTGTGATGAACATACTCCTACACTTCACCTTCTACTTATGGCCCAGTAAATGTAGATCTGCCAGTTTCATTTGAAGAGTTACAAACCTGTATTAGATTTGGATCAGGGAAGATATCTAAAAAGCATTTAAGACGTTGTTTATGTGGGAATTTCAGTGAAGTGTAAATAAAAAATTCCAAAAAATGTTTAAAAACTGTTTTTCTATTGTAGGCCCGCCGACAGCAATTATGGGTACCATTGATTGAGAAGGCCATGGCCAAACTGCATGGTTGTTATCAGGCTCTCACTGCTGGACGCTGCATTGAAGGCCTGCAAACTTTGACAGGTGCACCTTGTGAGAGTTTTGTGCTGCATGGTAAGACTCATTCAGTTGTGACTAATAAGATACCTTTCTCGCATTATCAGTGCATTTTCAAGAGGGCAAGCAATGGGAGTAAAGAAAATATTCAGTTTCAGCAATATTTCTTTCTTTTCAATGGCCATCAGCTCACTACATAACTTGCAAAAAATTACCCCCACTGAGTTCAAGCTTTTGGGCCAATTAGATTAAAAATTGCATAGTTGTTGGAAAGTTTGCAAGTAGGTGGCTGTACACGTTTTGTACGTCTTTCAATTTGTGCTCATGGTGACTGAATGTAGTATTATTACAGTGGTTACTAAGTGCAGTCAATATGGAGAATTTCAGGTTTTTTAAAGAAATTTAGAAGTGAGTGTCATAGGTAATTCTTGATTGCATTGGTTTTGCTTTACCTCGCTCTGTGATTGGTCCAGAAAACTCGCGCCATTCTCTCAGCTAATAAGATGCGAAGCTAAAACCAATCACGACTTAGTTGCCCGCGTTTATCCACGCTTTGGGCAGTTTTCTTGTTTTTTACTCGGGTTTTCATTGGCTCCAAAGGGTACTTTCCCTTATTCTGATCGGCCATTAGGATTACTTTGGTTTTGGTTTTGGTTTTACGCTACTCAATCGAAAAGCGCTCTAATGTGTTACTGGTCATGGTTGTTTTTAACACAGAGCCTCAAAACCCTACAAGTGATGCAGAGGCTATTGATAAAGACATGATTTGGGCACAGCTTCTGAGCTGCAGGAGTGCAGGGTATGTGTGCAAAGGTTTCGTACTCTTTTCATGACACAGGCTACCACATATTCACCCATCCACCTTCGTTTTCAAACTTATGTTCATTTTGTATATCTACCAAAATGTAGTAAGATCAGCCCAAATGTT